TGTTTACGTCCCGGTCGACAAGCTGTAAAAATCGAACAGTAAATATATAATTATAAGTAATAATATAATTGTAAGTATATAATTGTAAATCGAGTACATACATATGTACTCGACTTACTTATTTTTGTGATTTATTTCACATTATTGTATATAATATAATACATGTAAAAAATATACTAAATTATAAAATTTTGATTTATTTATTAATTTATATTTTATCTTTTATATTTTATTATTATATATTTTATTTATTTATAATTTAATATGTGAATTTTGCAATATTTAAGATACTAATAAATCAATATAAATAGATCAATATTATTTTTACGTAGATGTAAAAAAATACGTATTTCAATATTATTTTCAAAATTTTCAATTATTTAGATTATTTACACAAAACATATATTTTATATATTTCTCAAATTTTATAACCTAAAAAATTTATATACAAATTTTTTTCGTATATAACTTATGTAACTTTTTATTAAATATTTATTTAATGAATCAAAATAAAAATTCAATTGATCGTAATATAAATATTTTTTTTTAATATTCATTACTTTTGACAATACGTTTTATATATATATATATATATATATATATGTGTGTGTGTGTGTGTGTGTGTGTGTAATTTGGATGTATTTGTATTTTTATACAGGTAGATCACACACCACATACAATGGTCTACTACAATGCCGTCGTTTTACCGGTGAGTTTAAATTATTTTCTATTTTAATCTCAAAATAACGGATTCGAATATTGTATTGTACTAAAATATATACATATATACGTTTTAACAAAATTACGAACTAATTATTTTATTTATACTCTTTGCTTTCTGCATTTTATTTCTCTGTAAAATTTTATTGCATTACTTACACAGTATTATTTTTTTAATGTATGTTATAACACAGTTTATCCAATTCAAATATCATGTAAATAATAATTTAAATGTTCACAATTATTAATTTTTATCGATTTTTTTTTAAAATATATAAGCATAATTACCGTACATGTATATGATTTATTTCGTATTTTTGTCACAAGTTTCTAATTTTTCTCTTTTCAATGTAATTAAAATTTACTTATTATTATACACTTATTTTATCATTATTTATATGATAAAATAAGAAGAATGACATACAATATTCGCAGCCGTCACACAATCTAGGATCATCCATCAGAAAAGTCAGAATGTATTCGACCGTGAGGAATGTTCTCGAGCATAATGTTGGTATGCAAGCGTGAAAAATTTAATGGGCCAAGAGTGAGAAACACGCGAGCATTTGAAAATTTTTCGAGCGGCATTCCTCGGCTAGAATATATGCCGGATAATAATTTGGCCGGTCACGCAAATATTTACACCGTCAGTCATATACATATCTCGAAAGCGACTGATGTGACAGTATCTTCCCTAAATTAGCGATTTCGTAAAACGATTAATCAGATTTTATCAATTTTATTTTATTCTCATCCAACATATAATGGAGAAATTATTAATTAAGTCTACGCAGCTTGATAACATTTTAATTTTAAAAATCTATAGCTTTATAAAATTTTAATAAATGCTAATTCTTGTTCCGCTCGACGTGTTTGGCTGATATTTATAAAATTAAATTGCCTGCCTCCCGCGAAGAGATGCTTCATTATGAAGCATTTCACTCACAAATCTTTCGAAGTTGTTTGCCTGTTCGCACCCTTTACGCAGAATTAAAAGAAAAAGACTGAAAGATGAGAAGAATGGAGACTGTATGGGAGCCTTTACTCTGTCAACGTCTGTGGTCTAATCTCGAAATCTTGAAATCACTGTCGACTGTTAAGTGAATCTTCATTTAGACGAGTTGTTTTAACTCGCTTTCCTCTAACGTTCTCAAAATAATATACCGTAAAAACAATCCATTACGCAAGAGTGTGTTTGAACAGTTTTTTTTTTAACTAAATTCTGTCCAAGCTCATACTCTTTTAAATATTAAAAAATTAAACTGATTAAAAACATTTTCTCTCGTTCATTCTCTTTTAATAATATACATATAATACGACGATGTAATAATAATCACGCGCGCGCGTTGCGTCTTTTATCGTAATTGATAAATTCCACTTTTTGTCGTATATAAAAGTATCATTTAATTTCCATTTTGCCTTTGTTTCCTAAATGAATGGTATAAAATTCCGGTTGCGACGCAATTTTATTTCGAAAGGAATATTAAATTGTTATTGCGCGCAATTCCATCTATTCTGCGCGAGAAGGCTGCTGTATCAATTGAAATATCGCCGTTCTCATCGCGAACGGATTCGCGATAGCGATTGAAAAGCAAAAACGATAAAGATAGATGCGGCGTACATTGGTTTGTTAGTGGCGGTGATGACGGTACAAACAATCTACCTAGACACCTCTCCGTACATTCGACGGCTGTGAAGCTGAAGTACGATCATAGCCGGGCAAGTTGTTCGAGTGAAAACATAAACGCGCGGCCGAATGTATTATGCCTGCGTAAGAAGCACAGGCATTGTTCTACATATATATATATATATATATATATATATATAGACGCGCCGCAGAACCGCGATCAACATGCCGCAAACATCTGTACCATAATCGTACAGATAGACGAACGCCAAAGCCGTAAAGGGGTCGTCAACTATGTACATAATTTCCAACTTCTCTGACTCTATCCGTTTCTGCAACGGACGATTCTCCGAAAAGCACCGAATCTCTCGACGCGGTCACCTCCAAATATATTCGTCTGACACACGAATAACACCGCGCATGGGAATAGTCTCATTTGTATTTGTATTTCGTATGTTGCTCTCTGCTCTCATTAATAAAACAGATGACCAACTGCAAAACAGAAAATAGCTCCAATCGCGCCGTGATACCGTTAAATCAAAGTGCAACTATTAGATACTTGCAAAAGTACTTATACGGTTACAAATATTTTCTTTTTAATTGCTCTCTTATTTTTAAACGTTGACCAAATTAAATCAGAATTGATAAATAATAATTCCGAATATAACTGCACGTTTAACGCGATTGGAAATAAAACCAGATAAAGTTCAGCTTTGTCGTTGATCATGTAATCATTACTTTTAAATCTTTTATACTATTTCTCACAAACAGCAGCGGATACAATATTCTGTCCGTATGTCTCACAAATCTTTTCGTTGTTGCAGCGATGTTTCACCTCAATTAAAGTGATAAAACATACAGTGGCGAAGATGAACTTTTCTGTGTACCTATTATGAAACTGTTTGGAAAGCTTTCCGATCGGAATAATTTCACTTGTCTCTAATTTCTTGTTATATTACTTAAAACAAAATTTAAAACAAAATTACTCTGATTGGACACCTTTCCAAACAGTTTTATAATACAATAGATACCCTGGTTCCGTTTTCAATAGCATTAAATGTGAAGTTATATTCAGAATTATGATTTATCAGCCATGATTTAATATGGTCAACATTTAAAAACAAGAAAGTAACTTAAAAGAAAATAATTACTAAGTGACTGCAACGCGTCATATATTTGTAACTTTATGAACTTTTGCAAGTACCTAATATTTACAGCTAAAATAAAGAAAATATAAGCAATCACGTTATTTAGCATGCAATCTGAATACGAAAAATATGATTTTTTTAGTCAGGATATATTCATCTAATCTCTTATGTCCAAGTTTTAATGATTCGTTGATTTTTAATTCAGAGAGTACATAATGAATTAAAATTCACAATTTATTTGCTAAGGCGAGTTTCGAGTTTGTTTCTCGAGCGTATGTAGTGCACAATCGATCAGCGATTTTCTAGAAAGTCAGACAATCGACTCTCTCTCATTTGCTGTCATGATCGAGACAATTTGATTTGGCTTCAATTCCATCTGTAATTCGGCTGACACGCACTTCTCGGCACGAAACGGTCAAAATTACAAAGTTCCAAATGGGGTGGGGACTGACAAGAACGCATTGCCCGTATAACAGCAGCCAGAAAATGCAGGAATGTGCTCCATCAAAGCAAGTCGCAGCGGCATGCTCTCCTATCATAACTTCAATGGTAAAGTCCACTTGTGGAGCAAGACGAATGCTAGTCTCCGCCGTCATCCTCATCTTTTTGCTTGCTGCTATATATTGGGTATCCTTGAACCAACAAGCGAACTCTGGCATGCGTCGACCAATGAGATTTCAACCACAACCTTCTCGTAATCCCACACCGAATACTGCAGAAGCGACTGAGAGATGAAGCAACATATCACTGACCTCTGATTTCTTCAGGGAAAAAATTTATAGGATAGTTCCAAGAAAATTTTACAGGACATTGAAAAGAGACGTGCTTATCTGCTGTAATTTTATTTATCGTTTACATTTTAAAAGATCTTCGTAAGTCGCCACTTAGAAGAAAATTACATAATTGAAAAATATTCTTTCAATAATAATTTCTTTATATGTATAAATAGCTACCTTGTTTTGACACTTTTAGTCGGAATTATCTTAATATGGAAATTTCAACAAATATTAAATTAATGAAGATATGGATGGCAAATAAATCTAAAAATATCAAACTAGGGCAATATCAGCATCGAGAGCAGCGTAATCCATAATAACAATACGAGTTTGCATTTCCGAGCAACAAGGCATACTGCATTTCATTGCTAGACATCGAAGCTATATATCGTAACAGCTGTTATGCGGTACATTCATCAAGTGTAAAAAATAAACATCTCAATCGTATACGTGTAATGAACTGAATACTAAAACAAAGAGCTACAATAATAAAGCTTTTGCAATATATCATATAAAACTAGTTTATTACGATCGATAAAAAATAGTATTGATAATTTGTTACGATGCCATCAGTTTGCGTCTCTTAAAATAAATCGCTAGATTTTTCTCTCGATTTTTACAGACATCGATAAGAGTTGCAAGAATAAAATGCATGTGTCATTTTATAATTTCAAAACAAATAATTATTTTAAATAATTATAAAATGGAAAATTGATTTTTTTTCACAAACTTAAAAAAATTATAAAAATTTTAAACGAGGATATAATTATTTGTAAAATGTATAGCAATAACATACGCTTCTTTTTTAACACACCCTTTCATATCTGCCAATAACACTCCCTTCGACTTTCTTCCCTTATCACGAACACGCGCGATAGAGCTTAACGTGGTACAAGTAGTATCGCGTACATCGTAGAGGATCAAATAAACTGCCAATGTACACAAAGGTTCTAATCGAGGCTACCCAGACCATCGAGCACGTGCAACATCATCCCCAGTTCTTCGTACGTGATTCTAATCCCACAAGCCGGGTTGTCATCGCAGATGCTAATATACGCCAGCAGTAGCTTGGCGATAATGTCTCGTTCCAAAAGTTCGCGCTTCACTTCCGGATTCTCCTTCTTCACGGTATCCAAGTAAAGTCGCAAAATATTCCGACAGAATGCCTCGACTTTCGGCAATTCACTTTCGTTGGGCATATTGGCGAAGAGAATGAGACCTAAATCGATCGCTGGCGAGCAGTACCTCATTGTTTCCCAATCGATCATCTTTACGTCATTTGGTTTGCCGTTCTCGTGCCTGAACAGCACGTTATCTCGTGTGAAATGACCGTGGCAGACGGTCGTAACGTCGTTGATCTCCGTGGCCAGACTTTCCATTACGTGCAGCTTTTTTTTTATTTTCTCAACGAGATTTGGCTCGAGTGATGCGGCACTCAAGTGTGTGCTACAAACAACAAGAGATCGAGGATATTTTACAAATCTTTACACTGATCTTTTTTAATAAATAAAATATTAATAATAGATAACAAGATGACAATATGTTATTATTATAAAAGTTATTTATTGTATTTATTGTAACAAAATATGATTTACCTGGCACCGAGTATCTGCTGAACGGAATATAAGCTGTCCGACGCAGACAGTTTTGCGTAGAATTCTCGGAAAATAGGAAACTTGCGCACTTTCAGCTTCAACCCTCTACCATGAAACGCCGCCAAGGCTTTTACGCACAATTTCAAGTGATCCTCGTCTAATTTACCGTTTACATGTGCATAACCACGCGCGACTAGATCCTCCAACACGATGACCGGTCGACCATACCGTCCCAAGTCGGACAGATAACACTTCGGCAGACCGTCCGTTCCGTACTCGAGTGTCATCTTGCTGTAAAACATCTCCTCGTTCTGAAAAGCACCGGGCGGCGGAGATTCCTCGTCTATCTTGGGCAACTTGATAACAAGTGGGAAGCTGCAGGTTTCGCCGGAAAATTTTACGCGCGCCGTCACTCGGTACAACCTGGTGGAATAATCGCGCTTTCCGTCGACGAGGTGCTCCACGTCGACGGAATCGAACTCGACAAACTCCCTCGAGCCGGTCTCGCAGAAGCGACGATCGTGTACCATCTCCGGTATCAATTCTCGACTTATGAAGTCGCAGTCTCCGCACCGGCATTGCTCCCCCGACTTGCTGCGGAAATCTGGGTCGGCCATAGCGAAAGGGAAAATAATATCGCTGTAATAAAACACGGCAGCAATTAAGGACACCGGCACTGCGAGAGCGCGCGCTTAAAGCCGGAAAGTCGAGAATTATGAGGAATTTTTTCTTCTTTCTCTCTCTCTCTCTTTTTTTCTCTCCATGTCCCCGTTCTCGTCCTAATAACGTTGTCGCGACGAGTGCCGCGCACGTTAATAATGTTTATCGTCACGAAATACAACGAGTCGCCAGAATAATTAAAAACATTTTAACCGTGTTGCTGGCCCCGAGAAACGAATCGTGGTGCAACGTAGACGAGCGTTTTCGCTAATAACCAAATAGATGATACGAGCAGCTCCCGCAATTATACACGAATTAGTGTAAAAGAAATATTTTATCAAATATACTTTACCCCAGCGGATTCTAGAGTCACTCGTACAATTCCCTCTGCTGTAGCCCGTTGCTAACTAAAGGTTTACTATCTCTGTTACACAACCGGAATAAGGTCTCCTCTTTATTCGCCTCATTGACAGTCCTTCATTCATTTAACTGACTGATCCAATCAATAGTTCTAAAAACTTAAATAGAAAATATTACTTTTTCTTTTAGCCATAACTTTCATTAATCTGTATTATATGTAATAATTATATCATCTGTTCAATCTATATCTTTTATTTATTTGTAAAGCACTCACTATCAATATCAATCTTGAATAAAAAAAAAAGAGAAAGATACTAATTTTAAATAAGGAATGTCACATTCAACGCGTAGGTCTGATATACTAAATAAAGTCTAGTCACGTTTCCTCTTTTGGATTTGTTCGACAGCTCGAGAGATTTGTTTTTTCTTGTCACAATAATTCATTTAACCGAATAATTCGTCGGATATTGTTATCCGTCTTACGAAAGATGGCACACATATCAAGCATTATATATATATATATATATACACAATCACGATACCGTATTTAATCAATCTCTTAATTAGAGACGTCCGCGTCACGCCACGAGGGACCAGCCCAGCTGCACGTAATGAATGAGTGCTGCGTAGAAAGTCATAGCACGATGAACTGTATCTTCCCCACTCTTTCAAGATAACGAAGCCGGCTTTCATTGGCTTTTAATGACGTCGCAAACGAGTTTACTCCGCGAACGAGACGTGACGAACCGTTTAGCTCGCGTCCCCGTCGTCTTAAGTATATTTTCATCGGCACTTAATCCGGAAAAAGGTATCGATCGTAAGAAAAGTGGAAGTAACTTTAAATTGCGTTACAGAGATTACCGTCTTATTAAAGAAATTACTCACTCTAATCGGATCTGTATAACTAATCGGATTTATTTTAACCAGGTGACGCGTGAGTTTCGGACTTTAAAATGCCGAAAGAAAAATTGTCTCTTGCCACGTCCGTCCTAACGAACTTGAAGCTTCGAGCGGAGAGCATAAATTGTGAAGTTTCCTTAGCGACCGTACATTTAAAATGCGGAATTAAAGATGTTTGCAGAGCTGAAAAAAAGCTTTATTTTATACAGCAAACACTTTTCTCGAACGCTTTGAAAGGAAACACTTTACGATTATTTATGCGCGAACAAATTTTCCTCAACAATATATAAACTATCGATAGCGTAATTTTATTTTAAACGAGTTGCTCCCAACTTCAAACCTTAACGAAAGCACCGAACATCTCGTGCTTGACATTTCTACATCATTCAAATCTAAATTTTCAAGTATAATTTTTTTAAAATTGCAAAGCACAAAAGAGAGAGGAATAGAAACGCAATAATGCATTATTAATCAGCAACTGAAATAAATGGACTCGACAGCCGCAGTCGGGATCTAAATTCCTAAAACAAATCAATGATCTAACCTCTGATACCGAACATCTCGTGCTTGACATATCTACATCATTCAAATCTAAATTTTCAAGTATAATTCTCTTAAAATTGCAAAGAACGAAAGAGAGAGAGTAATAGAAATGCATTATTAATCCGCAACTCAAATAAATGGACTCGACACCCGCAGCCGGGATCTAAATTCCTAAAGCAAATCAATGATCTAGCCTCTGATACCGATGATTAATTTACCTTGTAACGTGGCCTCGATGTCACAAATCGCACCCTATCAGAATGTTCCTGTACAGACGAGTCAGTATAATTTCCCCACATACCAACAACGACAAACCAATACTCAGCAGATGCAAACCGCTGCATGCGGTCCGTATTCCGGAACTTCTCAAGGTAGAAAGTGCCAATCAATAATCTTTAACCATATTACATACATAACTTAAGTTAATTACAATATTTTATTTAAAAAAAAATTATATACCTATCCCTAACAGCACACATATCCCGAAGACGTTCAGAGAACATCCTGAGGATATTCTCTGAATGTATTTCGGATATGTTGTACTATTATTCTAGGGATACATATAATTTATACAAAACATCGAATCGCTTCCTCTACTCGGACTTTTCTCATCCAAGGACCCTTCGCTCAAGTTTACCAGCCAGACACTTACGTAACGCAGCAATGTGCGCCGCAACCGGTAACAAATCCATGCCATCCGATCTTTCAAAGCCAGTGCAACCCCCCAGCGAGTCATCCCAGCTGCGGCCAGCTGCCGCAAAATATTTTGGATCAGATTCGTGCTTGCGTCAGCAACACCGCGCCCATTTTCATTCTGCCCGGTAATTGTCAACAATCGCCGACGTCTCAGCAGCAACAGCAGCCGATTTTGCCGCAGGCGACGATGGGTTCGCTTCCTCCGACAACAGCAGCGTATCCACCTAGCGGATTAACTTATCCGGCCACATATTACCCGTCACCGCCCTATCCCTATCCTTATCCCTTACCTATGCCGTTTTACGATCCGTTTACTCGCGCGCGAGATACTGCGCAGAGCTGCGGATGCCGAAGAAGGGACGTCGACCTGACGGAGGTCAGAAGCGTCGCGCAAACTCTCGGTTGTGCTTACGACCCAGCTCTGGACGAGCACCATTGCGTGCCCACCGTCGACGACATCATCTGCACGAAGAGAAGCTGCCCGTCCTCGCTGCATCTTCAAGCACTGGCTTCTCAGTTTCTCTCGATGCAGGGTATCATTGCGTGCGCCGCCACAAGATTAATATTGCGCAAAGTACCTGGTTCGAATGTAACCACCACCATGGAAGACACGATGGCGAAGGCGCAGAAGGCTATAAGCGTCCTGACGAAGGATCAGCTGTTATCAGAGTCGAGGAACGCGCAGCAAGTTAACACGCTGATCAACCTGCACATGACGGCCAATCCGCCGCCTAATATCATTCCCATCCTCACTCTGGTGCAGCTGAAGATGAATCTGCTAAAGGCGCAGGTCGAGGGACTCGTCAACCAGAAGATAATGGAAACTCAAGGCGTCGGTGTGGAGGTATTATCATTAATTCGCGCGTTAACAATTTTATTCTCATACGTTCATTCTTTTCTCATCAAAATAATAAATATAATAAAATATAATTCTTTATTTTATATTTTATAATTTATATAATTTTTTTAATAATTATTTTATAATTTATTTTAAAAACTGATTCTTTTTTTATTTTACATTTTTAACAAATATAAAAATTATAAAAAGAAAATAATAAAAAATATAATTTCTATCGTATTTTAGTTATCCAAAAAAATAGAATAGGAATTAATATTTTAAAATATTTTAATAAAGAGTATATTTTTAAAATAATTTAGTTCCATTATATTGAACAATTAAAATGATAAAATACAATTGAAGAAATGAATATATAAAATTATCAATTTAAATATCAGTATATATATATATATATATATATATTTGTTTATATACTTATCCCAAGGTGGAGACCGATCTCATAGATCCTACGATTCTCGCTTTGAAGTCCGACGCCGAGCTGCGAGACTTCCTGTCGGTTTTGCGACAGAAGGAATGCGACGAGAGGGTGAACGTGAACTTCGCACCCTATCGCTCGCAGCGTGCGATCGCGGAGACTCGGCTGAGAAATATTCAAAGCAAGCTTCGTCAGGTGGAAATCGAGTTCGATCGTAGACGGTGCGCGATGCTGCCCGCGCCAACGTTGACGTCGCGCATCGTGCAACAATTCTCCAAACCGTGTTACTCGGCAAGATTCGAGGATTCCAGAAGATTATACATAGGCGCGCTACCGCAGGACATTCCCCGCTCGCCTGATCCGTTCATCCGCGTACAACCGCGGAGTCCCAAGAGGCTGCTGCTGAAGCCGTGCACGAGCAAGTCCGAAACTAAGTCCACGCAAATCGCTGCCCCTGTTCCGGCAACCGGCAATCCGTCGAAAGCCACGGAAAACGACGCCGGTGCAAGTTCCACGAGGGATCAATCCACGACGGCCGACCTTCAGCCGACCTCCAGTACGGAGACCTGCACCTGCGACAGGACGACGTCGGACGAGAGCGTCGGCGAGGCTAAAAAAAAACTCCAATCGAGGATAGTCGAGATAAACGAGAGTAGCGTCGAGGAACCGTCGTCCTTGATGAAGCTAACGTCGAAAAGCCTGGACCTGGGGACTCCGACCTGCGACGCGAAAGGCTGGATAGCCGAAGCGTATATCAATGTCGAGGAGGATGAATCGGTGAGGACTTTAACGGGATCGATTTGTGAGTCACGAGATGCGACTGAGATTCGAAGAAACTCGGGCCGAATAATGGATCGGCAGGAATTTACAAGTTCGGCGGATCCGCGACAGTTTGAAAAACAAGGAGAGACCGAAATCGCAATTTCGAGAAAGAATGAGGCAATTAAGAAGTACGACATTGAGACCGGGCGCTCGCAAGGTGTCTCGTCCCCGAAAGCTGAGCAAACGGAGATGAAAACCATAACTATTGCAGAAGTCACGGACGTTGAGCCAATTTCGGGCGCGCAGGAAACGGAGCGAAAATCACCGAACGACTATACTTCATCGCTGGAAATTGCGTTAAAGCCGGGGAGAGACAGGCACGAGAATGAACAGGAAGATAAAAACGGCAAAATCTTACCCGCGAATAAAACGATGGAGTGGATCGCGAATGAAGTACCAACAAGTAAAATCAAGAAGAAAACGAGATTTCGCATTTCGTTGATGACGAATATCGTATATAATAACGAGAATGACGAGTATCGAAGTAAACGGAAAATTGATAAGAAAATAGTGACAAGAGGGATGAGTAGAATTACCGATCCGGATATTGAAGAATTGGATAAAAACAATTTGATGGAGAATCTAAGAAATACCATCGCGCACAATATTACCGGAAAAGATCATTCACAAAACAAGGATCTTTCGAAGCTCCGCGTCGATCGTCAATGCCAGACTGCATCCGAGGAAAATAAAACAACATCCGCCTCTTTGTTAAGAATAAATCTCTTTCCTCCATTCAAGAATCTACATAAATATATGACAGGTAAGAGAGTCATTAACTCAGTACTTTCTATACTTAGAAAGGGAACAAGGATAAAAACAATTTTCATTTTATAACTTGTAATTGCTTTCAATTAAAAAAAAGCATCAGAAAATAAGTGTAAAAATTGTATAGAATACTTATTATATATAATACAGGATTTAAATCTTTCAATTTCTCATTCAGATAATGAGAGAAGCGGAAACGACGTAGGAGTTTATCCAAGTCCGATAACGAAAGCGGGAATTACGGCTAGGAAACGTTTATCCCACTGGAACGATGTCGCAAAAAATCCCCCGGAAATTCGTTACAAGGATAACGCGCGTTATCCGCCTTCCAGCATGGAATGCGAAGAAAGTTTTATTTCGGAAATGTTCTCCGTTATCGTCAATCGCGTGGTTACATTCGTCAATAAAGTAATTACATTGAACGGAAGATTACGTAAAAGTTTAATCATCGACGCTCCGATAAGTCATCGTCCCGAGCTAATTTCAAAGGATCACGATCCAGTCGCAAGTATCTCGGATCCTCCCTTTGACACGAATTTTGGGACACCTGGTACCAGCAAACGTGATTTTCGCGACGCGAGTTTATTACGGATTTCTACCGAAGCAGAATACGGCAGGATACATAAAATAAGACACTCGATAATCCGAGATCAAGAAAATAATACGGAATGTTTATTGATCGCTACGTCGAGCCGAGATTGTGATCTGATACGTGATTTGGGACGTCCTTATGAGGTCCAGAGAAGTCTTCTTATACGCAGTCGATTGAAGGATCGTTCGAGTACGCAGGATCATCCACATCCTTTTTCGCTTTTAAAACGTACTGGGAAAGGTGTATCTAAAGAATTTCGTCAAGCGAAATGTATCGAAAATGTAGAAATGATCGAAGAAAAAAAAGCATGTAAATTAAGACGCAGCAAAAAATTCTGGGCATTATCGGAAGTTCTAAAAACACACGATGAAGTATCAAAAATGAGAGAATATAGTACTGAAATTAAACAAGTTTTATGCGAATATTCGCACGAGAATATTACGAATAATAATACATTTACTGTGCGAAAACACGCAATTGTTGATAATATCGCAACTGACGATGAACTCGTGATAAATGTTCACGATTATTCCGGATTGCAAACCGAAATAAATACGAATACGTACGAAAATCGCGGCGTATGTTTATTATTGCATAGCAATTGACGAGGGGGTTTATATAACATAATTATATAATATATATATATATAATTGCTAATTCGTGGAATTATAAAAATGTTGTTTGCGATTTTTCTTTCCACCACATCTCGCTGAAAAGGTTAATTAAAGTACACTGGTCGAGTATAGTGTATAACTTTGTTCTTTTATTAATAACTTTTATTCTTTCGTCAGTGATCTATTCTCGTCGCTATAGCGTCTAATGAGAATCTTTAGAATTGTGGCGTAGTAACAGTGTATGACGATAAATTTTTCAATGCGCTTTCCCAGAATCATGCTTAGTTCGGATTCTACAAAAAAAATGGAAGAGTATTCGTGGAAAAAAAGTATTCGCCACATATTCCACGTATACACTCGCATCGAACCGACATGTAATCATTACAACATGAACATATGCATATCAAGCACAGTTTTTTAATTTCTTTGTGATTTTTCGATCTCTAATTTATTTTGTTTAATATATATTAGATCTCTTACATTCTAAAGTCGAGCGATTACCAGTAGAAAATAAACGGATTTAACGCACATTGGTAGTCATAAGAAAACTAATGTCGAAACAACGGAATCCCGTGTTCATATATCAAAATACACAAGTAACAACGTCACATGATATACTGCTCTATCTATGTATAATATTCGTCAATGAATAACAAGATGCTTCACCATGGGTCGAAATGTTGAAGACAAAATGGAGATAAAAATTTTACGCAATGTGAAATTCAATATTTGTGTGTGGAAGAGTTAATGTGTTCGCGCAAATTGTAAATACATAAAAATATCGCAATGAAAAAGCAATTCAAAGTATTAGCCAGTTAGAGCCATATTAATACACATTATTAATACATGTACTCCTCAAGTACATACTGTAATATCAAAGTTACAAACGGACCATATGCTTAAGATAAATATGATCTAAATCTTTTATAGAACTACATTTAACTGCAGACTGAAGAGACACTTGTGGAAGAAAGATCGAACTTATTATTGTGAAGTATTTAATCAGTCACAATCTCTGCTTTTAGTATGAAAGATTTCGTTTTAAAAGGAACTGAGCGACACCTCCATCGTCACTTTTCAAAGTTTAACACATTATCGCGTAATACAGTATCAATTTGATACACAGTATTTTACGACTGTTGCATATACATATATATTAAATATCTTGATATTTATATATAATTAATGAAAAAATTAATTTTTTTAATTATGTGGCATGTACAAGAATTTAATATCTACAATTTTACAGAGACCTCTTATTACTCGCGCGTGATATTTTAAAGAATAAATATTTGATCTTCTCTGTAGCTCGTACAGCTACTATTTAACGAGATACGGCCGTCAAACATTCACGAAAATTAGTCCGTTATTATTGTTGGCAGACTCTTTTATGAAAAATGTGTGTGTACATATGTGTGCATGAAAGAGAAATAGATTACAAAATGCTAATACAAATAATATATCCTACTTGATATACATATAAAATTTTTCCTCAATAATAATTAAAAAATTAATATAAACGAGTGATAATTACTTTTTGGCGTGGTGCAACAATTGCATATGGACATTCGTTCGTAATACATGTTAGTCTTAAATCTAAAAAAAAAAAGAAAAAAAAATATAAACATTTTTCGTTATATCTCTCAATCTCAATATCAATTGTTTTTTAAATGTTATTTTTTGATGAGTAATTATATACAAAAATATTTACAGAGAGAAATATTTACACCATTACATATAGTTGAAGTAACGGTGTATTATAAAATAAAGTGTCATATAATTTAGTTAAAAATTAATACTTCCTACGACAAATCTTTGATAAAGAACTTAAATAACTAAACAAGTACTTGCAATGTATAATTGCTGAAACATATCTTTTACATTTATAATAATACAAATTGTAAATAAAAAATTTTTTACACAATTTTAACAAAGAACAAGATAATAACCAATGATCTAAATTAAATGGATGCGATTACGAATACAGAGCGTAATGTTATAATGAATCTAAATTTAATACATTATACATATACATTACATGTGCTATAATGTAAAAAAAACTTGTTTTACTTTAAAAAAAAAAACCATGATAGTCACGAGTTATAATAGTCATTTTTATCATCGCCATAATAAACTTAAAAAAACGTGACGTATTGAAAGTTAAGTAGGCAATTGCGCATTTTTAAATTTGTTGCTTTTAGTCCGAATATATCTGAATTTCTTATATTCGGCTATATGTGCAAGTTGAATTTCTTGGTTGCGAACGTCAACTTGGACAAAGGCACGATTGACCATAGGTAATGCTTGTGCAAAATATTACTATATAAAAATTAAAACTCTCCCCACACATTTCAAAAACTAAAGTAACAATAAATATAAGCAAAGCGAATACTATTTTTTGTATACAATGTACAATCGAGGTCCTGTCTCTTTCTTTTCTTTCTAATAAAAATATTCAGAATCACTATTTTTTCGCTCCAAACGAAAAATTACCCAGACGCACCAGTCCACATTTTTCTCAATTCTCGCTAAGTTCATTAAAGTTTTTTTTTAATGTATTAAGTTTTTTTTAATTCACGCCTTTGGTATACTCAGCTCTTAATTGGCCGAGTGTTACTTTTATATCGTGAAAACTCGGTCTCTTTTCGGGCTGTAAATCCCATGCCTACCAAAAAACAATGTGAGTTATTAAAATAATGTGATATGAAAAATATAATATGATAAAGATCAAAGTTTAATTTACCTGTCTCATAATATCATAAACTTCCGCAGGACATCCATCTGGCGGTTCCATCTTATATCCTTTTTCTACACATTTTACAACATCAGCTAATGGCTGCAATTATAAGAATAACATATGAATAAAATGTATCGTATATTTCTTATCAAAGTTCAGTGCAACAGTATTACTTACAATTCGCGGATAGGGCACACGACCGAAGGAATAAATTTCCCAGAGAAGAATTCCAAAACTCCACATATCAGACTTATTTGAAAACTTCTAAAAATAGCAATGTAATAATATTATTATAATATATCTGCGATTCGCCGACAGGTTATATAAAAATTAAATTATATATTTACGTTCTGTTTTAAAGCCTCTGGTGCAGTCCATTTGATTGGCAGCTTTCCACCGTCGAGGGAAAAGTTTTCGTCCCGTGCCAGCCCGAAATCGGATACTTTGGCGGAGTTGTCCTCTGCTACAAGAACATTTCTCGCCGCCAAGTCCCGATGAACAACGTGTCTGGATTCCAGGTACGCCATACCAGCACACGTATCGCTACAATAAATATTAAATACGCGGTTAACAATATACTTAAATATTTTATAATTGAGACGCATGAACAAACATTCGTTCTTACGTACTACGCAAAGTTAATTTGATCCTTTTTGGAAACGTGTAATCTTCCTCTCGAACGTAAATAATCCACTAGGGATCCTTTGCTCATATATTCCGTAACCAGGTACATGTGTTGATTATTAAAAACGAGACCGAGTAATTTAACCAGATTGTCATGTATCAAAGAGGTCATTAAACTCGCCTCGGCCAGAAACCTCTGCGCCGCCTCGCTGTTATCCTTTAACATTTTCACCGCGACTCTTTCTCCTCGATAAACGCCTAACAGCACATCACCAAACTCTCCCTTCCCGATGCACTCTCTTAATTCTAACTCGTGCGTCTGAATCACCCAGCCGGCCTCTACGAACGCCTTTGGATCCACGCAAAAATCTTGCTTGCCCTGTTTCGGAAGGGATTTCGTTAGCTGCGTGCACAAACCGTCCGCATCCTGCTCATAATGCTCCACCAAAAGCGCCAGATTCTCGAAAAATTCTTCATCATCGATCGTCAGTTGATTGTTTTTATATTTCACCCTATAATGCTGTACGCGTCCTTGGTAGCATACGCAGAGCGTGTAGTCTCCGGGGAAATTCGTTGACTCGCGAACTAGGAACAAACCGTCCTCTCGCGGTCGCAACAATCTTTCTGCCGTTTCTCTAGATATCTTTCCGTGGAACCATCTGCGCAAAAGAAACAATTTTAAAGTAAACAGGATATTATACTCTTAATTTATATAATACTTTAAAGCACATAAAAAAATATAATATTCGATTCATATATGTATATCAGTTTTTCGTATCTATTTCTGCATATCCTATTTTTTATTTCTCTCATTGATCAATTATGATTTCCTCACAGAGGAAGCTTAACTCTAGCACATTGCTTCCTCACCATTTTATTTCGCTTATTAAGATGGTTTTTTCAGTTAGCTTCTTAAATTCAGCTAAAATCAATAGCAATCGACTTTATAAATTTTACAACAGTTGCAAAGCTGCTTTTTCTGCTGAACGCAGCCAATGTGCAAGTTGAGCTTTCTCTATGGCGAAGCCATAATTGAAAGTCCATCAATGGGCGAAATAAAATGACGAAGAAGCAATGTGCCAGCTTCCAATTTGTTTAAACTTAGCAGACGCTTTCAATCTTCACGTCGTCATATCTGTAAATACGAAGCTAAGCGTGTAACAGAGTGATGATACATACGGCATCGCGTTCAGCTTCACCTCGTGCCGCGGATTAACTGGCAACGCGGTGGTGTTGGCGCCCGGATTGATGGCGTTGGAGGTGAGAATCACCGGCGAGGACGCGACGTTCATGTGCGTCGTGATGTTCGGGGTGGTGACGCTCGAATGCGTGGTCATCGTCGGCGATACTGGATGGGACGGAATGTTACCTGTAGACAGGTTTGAAGGAACGCTGTGCTGCTGTTGCTGCTGCTGAGTGCTGTTTTGTATGAGGGGATGGGACGTTACGTTTGAAGGGATAGTGTGATGATTTTGATTGCCGTCGAGCTTCGCTTGTCGCGCTGGCGCTGACACATTCGGGTATCCACCACCCGCATTGTGGTACGTTGGCATGGCAGCTGCCACACAGTAGGCTGGCTCTATCAACCTGCGAAGATGAATGAAACGCATTCACATGAGCGGGCGTCATTTATTCGGCATGCTTCATTAAATATAAGACGCGTATCAGAAATGTTCCGGTACATCCGTGATTCGCAGAATGTAACGCAGCACAGAAAGTAAAAGCACAGGGTGTCTATACTCAAATTTTGTTAAAAACATTCCCTCAGAATTTTTTCTGATAAAAAGAAAAATATAAAATAATTTATTATAAACATCTCAGAGAATACTAATTTATTTAAATATCATATCTATTTAAAAAATTGACCAATTTTCTAATTATATAAGATCTTGATACTAAAAATAGATTATCAATAAAAAAAAATCACATAAAATTTTAGTAAAAATTTAAACATTGCCAAGCTATGTTATAGACATATGTTTCTTAAGTGTTAAATAAAATTAACAAAAAATATTTTTTTTAATTCTCTGAATCTAAATCAGATTCCATGAGAATTCCCTGACAGTATCTCAGATTTTCAAGGTTTTTCCCGGGAGTATACAGAGACGGTAGAAGTTTGATACCAAGACATAATTTCAATATCTTTTTTTAATGTAAAAATTTTAAACATGACTGTTACAAGAATGTTCAGCCGAGATACGCGCACAATGATCCCTGAATGTAATCTTACAGCTTCGATTTCTTTCAAGATAAGGTCTTTTAGGATCATGAACATAATGGACAATCGTTCTCCTACTTTCTCCTGTACTGAAGAGAACGTTAAATTAGGTCATTATAAATTGTTACGTATTTGATAGGTCTTTTTCAACTTTTATCCGGGATCGTCATCTTGAGAAGCCGCAGATTCGTCCGATGGAAAAGCAAGGAAATTACGTCGTAAAGTAGGAATAAAGTTGCGAAGTGATCGGCGAGCACTTACATCGCCGGGATGATTTAATTATCCCGGAGGTGCGACGTAATGCGCGTATCCGCGATAATTAATTAAAACTTGTTAGGTAAATTGGAGCTCGATACATATTCAACGAGCATCCGCCGGACCACGCCGGCGAGTTTTAATATACGGCGGTTAGTCTAAAGTGCTTATTGTTTCAAGGCATTATGCTACAACTACCGCGATGTTCATCCGCCGTATTACGATGCCTCGCACGTCCGTACATGGGACGTGTGTGATAGGTGAGTCATACCAGCCGCGTGTTATTTTCGCAACGATTGTAATACGAATAAGCGTGGTAGTAGGCCTATAATTATCGGGACTTGACTAAGCGACATCATTTCTACGTGGAATGCATTGCCGATTGGAAAAAAAAAATTATGGCGAGAAATCAGAAATTGTATTCGCTTTATTTGAATATATATTCTCTCATCGTGTATCGTACTTTGGGAATTTTGTCAAATCGGATCAATTTATCTGGATGTGAAACGAGATGATGCGCGCGGAGAAATATTACTGTCTGGTATATGGATAAACATTACAGCACGTAGGACACGCTTCGTAACGCAGGGAAATAGCTTTTGAAGGAAATGCTTCCCGGCATGATTTCCTTACATTATCCGTATCGCGATCGAGTATACGATAACAAGAAACAAATCCATCGTACCAACAAATATTGAATAATTCAACTGAGAGTCTATCCTTGGTCGGATGTCCGCGAGACAGAAAGACAGAAACACAGAGCCAGAGAGAGAGAGAGAGAGAGAGAAATGAACGAGCGAGTTGTGTCACGCGAGAATGTATAGTTGTAGAAATATAATAACAATAATATGCGAATCGTTCTATTATGTAAACCCCCCCAAGTTATATTTCTGTGTCGTGTTCTGAATTTCGAGATAGACGGATGAGAAAAGGACGGTCAAGCTTTAAGCGCAGCGCACAATAGAGAAAATATTAGAAATACATATTAAATATTTGGAATAGGAATTAATTTAAAATAATAAAATGGAAAACACTCTGATATATACATGTGAATTCGAGTATAAAGGGCTCTTACTAACTTATTAGCTTTTATTAATCCTTCATACCTACGGACCATTCGTCCTTTATTTTAGGGGCCAGTCCTTTATTTCAAGTTATACTATCCTTTAAATTTATTCACTTTTCCAAAACTCAATTTTGTCCTTTATTTTTTATTTAGCGTTTCAATGTCTATAATGTTATATTGTATTAATATTAGAATTTGACGAAAACAACGGAACCTCTTTTTTGCTCGTCGATCTCCATTTTGGTCGCAAACTGATTTGGAAACATGTTAAAAGCTCAAAAATTTTCAGGTTTGTCCCTTATTTTCTCTCACAAAATATGGTCACTGTATTTATGTCCAAATTTGTATTTTTATATTAAAGTCTTTTCGATTCTTATTCCTAATATTTAATATTTATAGCTAATATTTTCTCTATTATGCAGCCTTACGCGCGCGTTGAGAATATAACAGAAGAGAAGGGAATATTAGAGATAGATACCAATTCTTCGTTCTGAAAAATATATATCGAACTCACGGCGATCGAATTTACGGTCCGATAGGATTGCATAATTCAGATCACGCTGGCTTAGCACGTAACATTCGATGAAACAAGACCGGAGAGTTAAACGTTGGAATTTTATAGGTCAGAGATATCGCTCCCTTTTTTTCGCGTCTTTCTGTACGGAATTTTTGTTCAGCCGAAAAAACAGCATCGCGCGCCCGAAACGCCTTGAATATCAATACTGGATTTGAATGCGCGATGCGTAACACGTGTAATGCACGTTCCTCGTCGCGCCTGTCAGCTGACCCGACTGACTGCACGGCCGCATACATTTCAGGCTAATGAAATTTATTATCGGCTGCACGCGACGTTAATTCCCTCTCGGCGATGTGTAACACGTGTAAAAAAAAAGCTGCCATGCAAAACTGTTCTATCGCGTGCGAGCGAGTACTTGAGAGAAAGAGAACTATCATGTTTGATGATAAGCCGAAAATAAGCTGGATATTGATATTATGCTGCTTAAAATATTTTATCTTTGTCACTTTTTGGTATCTATTTATTCTACTTAAAACGATTGAAGAATCACAAGTTTTTAATGTATTTTAAAATTATTGATATTTTACTATATATTTTTTAGTAAAAATTAATCAAACATATTTTATATCTTATTGTGGTAGATATTAATATTTTTTATTGTGGTAAATCTTTTTATAAGAAAAACTCTTATAAAATTCTTCCAATACCATATTGTCCTACGATTACCTTGAATTTCAGGATAAATTCTAAGAGAAAATTCTCCCTGTGTATATACGAAAATTTCACGAGTGAAATACATCAATCGTGAAAAAAATAAACTTCATCGATCGGTGGACAACGAAGAAAATTGATTTGAAAATTTTATTACACGCAAAAATTCACAGCTTTGATTCTCACTCCGATATTCATTTATATCCGTAATCTCACCTTGAGACTTGTAAGAGATACTTTGAAAAATAGTGTGCTATAAAAATGGATTATTTTATTTTCATAGAAAATAGTACTTTTTCTTTAAAACCGACGGATATACTGCTTAGCTTCTGGTACAGTAAAACGGCTACTAAAACTCTCAAGTTTCAAGCGCATGTTTATCGGAGGTATAGAAATGCAAAGTAAGCTGAGGATATTTTACAAGGCAAATATCATTGCTTCTGAAAAAAAAAAGAAAAAACCTCAAGAAACTTCGTACACGATGATGTAAAATATCTCGAATCGCGATCGAGTAGCGGATCGCGATGTCGCGTGCACGTTTGTGTCAATTTCAACGGGAAACGCAGACGCAATAATTATGCGTTTCGTATGCAGATTTCAAGGCCGACGAGGCGGAAGTTTCTGTTTACATCAGTGTCTTTTTTTCGAGTACTCCGGCTTTCAGTGACTCACTATCCGGGCGCTTTTATACGAACCGCAGACCGCAGAGTTCGCACATTGCGCGCATATTTCGCCGGAAGCGACGTGATTACATTCGCACATGGAAAGCCCCCCCCCCGTTTACTGACAAAAAGTGTTTCCACGTGATGCGATTGCAGCGTGAACGCAACCATAAGCTTTTAGGACTAAACAATAAATTGCGACAACCACGAATCCCGCTGGTTTCCGAAACAAACAGGGCGAAAAGGGATTCCTATTTATTTGAAAAAAAAAAAGCTTGCATATCAAAAATTTTCGGAATCGGAAAATTTGACAAATCTTTTTGCTTAATCTTCTCACAGAGAAATAATAATTTATTTATATAGTAAACACGAAAAATCATGCAAGAAAATATTATAATAAATATATAAAAATATATAATAAATAAAAAATTATATAAAATTATATTACACAGTAATTCTTAGCTTATATATAATTAATAGATATATATTTTTTAATTACAGAATACTCTGAAATCAAGCTCCAAGAAGCTCCTAAAGGGAGGGAACCGAGATCGAATATTTCGCATTCGTGAAATTAGAAATATTAGAAAAATGTTTCGCATAGCTGAGAAATTCGTATAAATGAATCGTCGAAGACGGATCGCGAAATATTCAAGATCTGGCTTCGCGAAAGCGATTTACGCGAGGCTCGTGCCCGGCACGCACCGCGCTCCTATTAATATCCCGCGCAAGAGAAAGAGAGAGAGCAAGAGCGCAAAAGGGCCCGCGAAAGACGCGGGCAAGAATGAGCGAGACGAAGAGGCAAATGCGGGCGGGAGCCTTTGCAACAGATTCGCGCCCGGCGAACGAGCCCGCGGTATCGCGCTCTTTAACAGTACACGTTACTGTACCGTGACCCGCACCACCGTTTTCCATCTGACGTCGCGCACGCACAGCGGGCAGGAGAGGAAGGGGACAACAAACCTTCGGCTCTTCCTCCGAATGAGCGACGCGAAAACTTTCGCGACCGTATCGCGAGAGATCTCCGTCTAGTGTCATCTGTCGCGTTGATAGCCTCCGGATTAGCTTTCGGATGCGCGAACGGGATCGCCATGCGGTCCAAACGCGACGCGAAATTTCATTAGTCATTCCTGACAGCGCAATACTGAAGGACGTACCGGGACGTCGTTTTTTTTCGTACATGAATTCTAGAAATAATTTCTTGGCGTAGATCCAACAAAACTGCGTTCTCCAACAAAACACGAGTGATCCTCGAATTAAGTGATGAAAGAAGGATGAGCAGAGAACATCCTCTCGATTGCGAAGACAGATGTTTTATCGCGTTTCTGCGGTCTCTCGTCTCACATCTGCTTTCTAAATGATTTCAATTATGTATACATATATTAATCAGACAGAGATTTGATTACTTTAACGAGTCTCAAAATGTATAATATAAAATATTAAACGATTGATGGATTTTTATTTAATTATATGAACACGAATTGCATAAATTGAACGTCATTAAAAATATTTATTAATTTTTCTGGATAAAATGTTATACAATTTGTAAAAATTTTTAGATTATATTTCTACTTTCTCTTCTACTCTATCCCGATATATCTCAATTTTTTTATATAATTCTTAATAACGTGGATAAAAACGAACTGTTTGAAGGCAACATCGAGTATGCAAGTAGATCGTATCGTGGAATGCGTAAAACGCGAATGGCTCTGCCACTGAATAGCGGGATCAAACACCCGGCACTTGGTTCTCGTATAAAGGGAGAATTGAAATCAACACAAAAAGCAACATTTATCTCTCATTTCTCTCTCTCTCTATAGCATACTTACTCGCGCCTCGCGCCAAAAACAGAGCGTTGAATAAAATAGAATTCCGTTGAAACCGGAATGGAACGCGAAATTTCTAGCTCCTGCCGTTTTCTCGCATCGTAACATTAATCTCTTCGAATTTGTCTCGCTCGAAAACACGAAGATTAACTCACGATAAAATGCGAAGATTAATCTAGCGTAATGCAAAGTGTCTTGGAAGCACACCTATGCTTTGCATCGAGTATCCATCTTCCGAAAATATTGCCCCTCTGAAACAGAAAATGGAAAATCGTTAAGTTTCTACGATCCTTATCTTAACTCCTACATCATATACATTTTTCATGCGGAAAATATCCCACGAATAACGAATCATTACGCGATAAACTGCAAATATCGTGAATATTTACGAGAATAAAATATTTATTACAATAGGATAATAAATGTCATATACACACAGAAGAAAAATACAGAATATCCGTATATTTTGAAATGTTTTCCTATACACATAACGATCGAATTAATTTTTTTTATCGGTGTAAGATCGCACGTTCTCGTCGGTGTTTTTCTCAAGTCGAATTAATTAGGTAAGGAGACGTAGGATAAAATCTCGCTCGAATTCGCGGTCGCGATTCGGCAGAAACAGAGGAAAAAGCGCGACGCGAAAAGAGAAGGAAGAGCGTTCTCCCATTTGAGGCGGACAATTAAACTACGTATTCATCGCGCGCGAACGTCGCCCGTTAACCGTATAATTAGCCAATTGCTAATTGCCCGGGTTCACACGAGACCGAGGCCAGTTCGCCAGACCCTGAGACGCATTAATCCACTCGGTCGTTTCATACAGTTCTTCTCGGACAGCGGATCGAACCAGGTCATGATGTCAGAGGATGTATAGAGACAAGAAGAAGCGTATTCTGGACGGGACAGAAAATTTCAGAAGTCGATTGCATGAATATTAAATTAGTCCCAACTACTATTTTTGTTCCTCAATGCAGAGGTTCTTTTTATAAACATTCAGCGGTTAAAATTAGATAAATTCTGTCTCTTTCTATAGTTCAGACTTAGAAAAATATTGAAGAATATGTCTTGCATGTTGAAGCACCTACAGAATTTTTTGTGTATTTTAATAGCTTTATAGTAGTTTTTTTAATAGCATTATAATAGTTTTTCTTATAATTATTTTCTTATACTATATATTTTTATTATAAATCAGGTGTATCAGGTAATTTAATTTTGATAAGCAACTGATTTAAACTTTCTTATTTTCCAAGCATGACAGATATATCTATTGTCACTTTGATCACAAGATGAATTTTAGAAACTGATTATTTGATAAAGACTTGTTCGTACCATTAATACTATAATACGAATTGTCAAGCAAGACTAATTCAATTATGTTTGGCTCAGCACATTGTTAAAATTCCGATTGCTAGTAGACAGTATTACTAATCTTTGCATGAATATAATACGAAATATTTAAAATCTGATAGAGTAATTATTTTCGAGACCTTATTTTAGGAAGAACCAATTACTCTCGGTAGCACAAACTGAAGAAAAAACCATAAAGCGGAGGATCCCCGTTTCTGCCTTGATATAACATTTTTTCACACATTTTCTCTCGAACTTCAATATGATATAATCGAATAAAACGACAGTTTCAATTGAGAAGACAAACGGGAGTTCGCGTTCAGGTCGATCCGGCGTTCGCCCTGTGACGTACGGAACTGTCATTTAAATACCGCCCATTGAGAGAACGACGGGCAAAAAAAATCACGTCTCGAGTATAACCAAACTCTCGGGCGCGCGCGGAGCCCGATACAAGTGGAACGTCGCCGAAGACGGTTTAGCTTCGTAGCTTCGTCGATGCTTCGTACACGCATGCAGGAGGGACGTGCGTACGCGCGATGAGATAATACACACCTAAATGCGTTTGCGGCGAGACGAAAGCCGCCGTGGAGGCCGTGGAAAGAGGCGCTTCGTCTTTGGCCGCGTGATCGGCCGCGAAATTTAGGCGCGCGAACGAGGATGCGGACGGACACGTTACACGCTGCGACAGCCGTGCGCGTTCACGCGCACGAATATTCATGGAAACACTGCGCGGCGCGTATCGTGTACGGAAACACCTTGCGAGAAACGTCACTCATTCAGGTCGAGTCGGACGGCCATTTTACTACGCACCACCCGAGCGAACGGAGGAGCACCTTGATACGCGTGCGAGGCCCTGAAAACCGTCCGCGCGACTGACAAGCGTGACAGATGACAGGTGGCGCGACGTCAGGGACTCCCGCGCATGCTCAGGAAGGCTTGTCATTGGCTGCGCGCCTGTCAACGCGCTTAGTAACAACGGCGGCGATTGGTTGGAGCGAAAATTTTCTTGCTCCGATTGGTCAATTGAAGCTACTCCAAGGAGTACATCTTGGAACGAATACGTCATTTCTAAAGTCAAATTTGCATGAAATGATTTGTATATGATGTTGTTTTCGAAAGCGCCCTATTATTTAAAAAGGAATTTCATAAATTAATTAATGAAAATACAGATTTGCAGAAAATGAGTGAATTCCTTTTCCCGAATTAGTAAAATAAATTATTAAGATTTAATTGAGGGCAAACGTTTTGAGAGACGGTTTTGCTATGCGTTTTTTTTAACTCTGACATCTAAAACAGATTTAACCTCCAAATGTAGATGGTGTTCAGAATGAAATTGTAAATTTCTGCAATTTCCATATGGTGATTACTCACGTTGACAGTATAAAGCACTTCTGATCGTAATCTTATCTTTAATTTCCTGCGACACAATGGCATTGCAATTACAGATTTTGTCGAACGTTCTACAGGTAAATGAATGTTGCTTTCAGTAGTAATGCTTTCAAAAATCTTTGATCTATATTATCAAATAGAGATTCTTTATCTGTTGACATTGTTATTATCATTTTTCGCTTAATATACTTAAATACAATAATATATTCAATATTTGAATATTACTTTCAGCGATTAGAATGCATGGAAACAACTGCAATTGGCTATCTTTATGGTATTATGTACAATAATACATTAGTAGTCCTAACATTCAGTATAAACTCGCATGACTGTGAAAATGAAAGCGAAATTGATTATACAGCATTGCAATTCAATCTACCTGCAGATATTTATTTTTGCGGTATATTACATGTTGGTGAATGTAAAGAAATAAATCCTGATGTTTTTAAGGTAATGCTATTTACACATGTATTAATATTCCATAAAGTATGTGTAGAATGTTTACTTAAAAATTGTCTTATTATTAAAAAAAAAATATATATATATATATATTAATATATTGCATGAATCAATGAGATAATATATACGAATTTGTTTGTTTAGGATATTGATATTACGGATAATCCCTTACTTTTAAAATATTCGCGCAATACATTGGATATGCAAGCATATTTTTATGTGCATCAAAAATTAGAAGCTGTTAATAACTTCAGTATTATTAGTGAAGATGATCTTTCTCAACAATTTGTATATATTAGATTGCAAGCAACTTTTCCATTAGTTGCTCAGGATGGAAACATATTGGAAGCATTACAAGAATCACGAAAAAATGTAAGATTTTCTTTAGATTTGACATTTGTGTCAATATTGTATTTCATAATTATATACATATTAGACAACTTTGCATTATTATAGATTGCATCTGGAAAAGTTGGAATACATTTTCCTTCAAACAATATGTATCTCTTTAGAACTGATGACAGTTTAAAAGACATAGTGTTAAAAGATTTTTTATCCATATCCAAGGAAAATGAAAAATCTTTAATTGCATCAACTAATATAAATTATACTGGACCTGTGGTATGTTTCCAAAATTTAAATTTATACATTTAAAAAAGTTATTTTGATATTTATTTTAATTATCTTTTTAATTTTTATAGAATATCATATATGCAAACATGTTATTAAAAATGTCAGGAGAGAAAAATTCTGAAGAATCTATCAGATATGCTCCTGTCTTGCAGTATATCAAAAGTATGTACTGCAAAACAAGATATAAATTATTAAAATATAATAATTTGCAAATATCATTACATAATATTTTTAAATTATTGATACTCTTATTGCAGGATCCTTTAACAGTTTAGAATGCAATCTACATATCAATGCATTGTCATTAGTAAATTTAAATGCAACATCAGCCAACTTACATGCAATTTTAGTGGAATCTATTTGTCGGACTATTAGATTAATTGAAATTCAACAACAAGATCCTCAGTTTGAAGATATAAAACTATCTGCAAAGTTACCAGAAATTATTCATTTTAAACCTCGAGATTGTGGGCATTTCTTCACAATAATATACCCTGGAGATTCTACTAATGACAGCACAAGTAAGATCTCTTTTATTATAATTACATTTGAATCTTGTTAGTCATATAATAAATTTTCACATTGTCAAATTCTACATATCATTCACAGTACTATAATTAATATTACTGCACATTTTTAATGATGCACAGTAATATACGTATCATCTATTTGCTTTTATACAGACCAGTCGTATAATTTCAGTGGAATATCGTAAGACTTTACACAAGGCTCTAGCATTAGATTTGACTAAACCATATTTTCGACGTGGGAATGCTATAAAATTGGATATACAGGCAAACGAAATACTTATAAATCCTCATCAAACTCTTTTAAATAAAGGTATATTTAAGCACAAAAATTCTTATTACACAACTTTGAAGTTATTATACTATTACTACAACATATTTTTAGGAGTTACAGGAAAACTCAGTATTGTAGATGGTTTATACGCGTATCATCATTATATGCAAGATAATTTTGATGATAATGGATGGGGATGTGCTTATAGATCTCTCCAAACTATTGTTTCGTGGTACAGGTAATAAAATATTAAATGAGATAACTACATATTTTAGTAAAATAGCAAAGCTAAACAGTAAAATTTTTTATTATTAATATATATACATATATATAAACTACAATATATCATCTATTATAGATTACAAGGTTATACTGAAGTACCAATACCTTCTCATCGCAAAATACAACAATGTTTAGTCGACATAGGCGATAAATCTTCCACATTCATTGGCAGTAAACAGTGGATTGGTTCGACTGAAATAAGTTTTGTGCTACAGACTCTCCTTAATGTAGATGTAAAAATACTTTGTGCATCAAACGGAGAGGAGATATCGGCCTTAATTCCACAACTTGTAAATCACTTTGATACACAGGGTACACCTATCATGATTGGTAATTTCTATCTTTATATTTTATATAGATATAATTAGGATTTAATATTTCCATTTTGTTTTGTAAAAATTTTTTTTATATCTTGTAGGTGGAGGAGTATTAGCTCACACAATTCTGGGAGTTACTTATGATGAATCATCAGGAGAGGGAAAATTCTTAATTTTGGATCCACATTACACAGGTGCAGATCATTTACCAACCATAATAAATAAAGGATGGTGTGGCTGGAAAACAAAAGATTTTTGGAAAAAAGATGCATTTTATAATATGTGCCTTCCGCAAAGACCTATAGCCTTCTGATGTTAGACTGTACATAATTCAGTTTTTTAAATGTACATATAACAGAGTAAGTAAAATTCTTTATTAAATATAAAATGCGCACACACATCTACATATGAAGCGGTTTTCACAATGTATTGTATAGTTGCATTTGTGAAATAATATTTCAGTTGTGTGATATATGCAGTAAAAATAATGAATATGTATTTCTATTTATAAGTTTAGAAAGTAACAAATATTCGATTTATCAATATTCAACAATTTTTATTTTGCATTTTAAAGATATAAAATATACATAAGATTTTATTAATATTAACCAGAGAATATTCTGTATATTATTTTATTACATATTCATAAGTATTAAATTATAAAATATAAAGGTAGCTTTATTTTTTTAATAGTCTTATATTATTGCTGGATACATATATATATATATATATATATATATATATAGCTAATAATTTTAAACAACAGCATATTTTAATATGCTTTACAAAAAATTTTTATTTTTCTAAAGCATTTATATACTGTCCAAATCGACTGGTTACAAAGACAGAAACATCTATAAATCTATTAACACAATTGTTTATGCAAGTTTCTGTACGTCCATCCAGTTTACTTCCTGGTTTGTCCACGCATTTGTCCCAACAAATATCGTTAAACTCGTGAATCTAAATTAAAAATATATAGAAATTTGTATAAACATTCTTTTACTTTACAGGCAAAATTTCTTGTATCACAGACAAACAATTATTTCTCAAAAATAGATATAATGGTACAAAATAATGTGTCAAAATTTAGAACTTTTTAGACGTTATTTAATTTATATAAAAAACGTTATGCATAATAATTTACCTGTGCATTAAGTTGTGCTTTTTGCTTTTCGACCATCAGAAGCCCCGCTATCTCGGGATCGATTCCTTTGGTATCGTTCTCGTAAACAGAATTATCAAACGAATCTGCCATATTTCAGAATATCGTAATTGATTTAAAAAATCGTATTACAAGAATATAGATTTGCAAATTTTACATGCGACAAGCGATAAATCTTGCAGGAAAAAATAATGAAGAACGTGTGCGTATTATGAAAAGAGAGAGATATCCGATTTTTCGCGCATGCGTGATTAAAGTTTGGGCAAATTCTTGTCACTTTTGTCACAAGAGCTACATATATAATATTATATATAAAATAAATATTATTTATCAAATTATATATTACAAAAAATATGCCATTTACATGTAATATTACATATAGTTATACAGTTTTATTTGTTTAAAGCTTATCAGATGTAACGATTGGTTGTCGGCTAGAAAATTTCTAGGGTTCCTAAAAGTTTCTTGCGATAATAATAAATTTCAGCCAATCGGTGCATTCAACGAAGGTGTTGCTCAACAAGTGCGATGACATCCGAATTGTTCCTAATAATGGCTGCTCCGATTCCGAAACTCTGACATGATCTAACCTGATCAGTTTCTTTTTCACTGTGTCTTCGTGTTTCATCCTTCTGCTTTTGATTTCTTCATCATATTACAAATATATTACATTTGTAAAAATAAATTGTACAGATGCCTATAGAGATCACAGTAAGCAGTTCCACGTATCGGGTGGAACAAAATAAAGTTTAATAGTCGGTAAGCAGCGTGCATTTCAATATTTCGTTATAGTTGACATGCTGAACAAAAATCGTTCTTCCTGAATCGATTGCGTGAATGTAATATGATTCTGGTTATTATACTTGTAAATCACAATTAAATAATGCTTAATTTTATCAATGTCTATATTAATAACAGGGAGAGTTAATATTTACATATGTATAATAACGTGTCGACAATTACAAAGCTTGAAATATTCCTAGTAATTTGCAAAAATTCTATACAATTAATTAGTTTCGATAAATGTTCAAAATTCCATTAAACTTCCATTAAATTTTAAACATTTATTGATATGTGATAACAAAATGTCACACAAACTTTGTACTTTAAATCTTTGTAACTGTTGATGTATGTGTTATTATTAAGAATGTTTCCTAACTTAAAAATATATTAAGATTAATAAAATCTTGAAGAATGTATACCTAGAAAATGAATTATTGTATAAAAAAATTTTATTTCAAATTTTGTTTATTATATGTTATGAGAGTTCTATTCAATGAAATTTAAGAATTTATATATTGATATTTTTAAGTTTTTTCTTTTTTTCAAAAAAATGTGCAACAAAATTAATGAAACACCCTATATATATCACTAATTTCATGTAGGATATTATATATGTGACCAATAGTATTACGTAAGTTTGTGTATCTTGTATATTTAAAGTCTATTTGATGTTGATGCATAAGAGATTTTTTGTATGTAATTGATGAACATAATTTTCAAGCATATGTTTGTCTACTGAGCTGAAGACCAAGTATAAGGTTCTAATTATCACTATCGCAGAACTCCAGCTAGTAACAGGTTCAATCTTTCAATGTTGTTCTTGTCTAGATCTGGAGTTTTAGTAATGCGATGGAACTCTCAGCCATCCAGAGAATCTGATGATAAAGTAATGATTTACTTGTACAATATACATGGATACGTAATAGGCCCCAGACTGCTAACACTAATGCAAATGTCCAATTTTTATTGCCATTTATGTGGTTTCAAACTGATTGGACTTTGGTGTCATTGGTGGAAGTGGTGTGGCCATACAACGTGCTTAATACGTATTAATCTACGGATTTAAGTTTGCTAGATATTATTTATTTTTAGCTATATTTAACCAATTAATTTGTATACATTGTGTAATTATAATTTTATATACTATGTGGGTATGCAATTGTGAAAAGTCAATACTATTACGAGAAGTCAGATATAGGTTTTATAAATCAGATGCTTTGTCTGGCAGATAAATAATAAGAAGTAAAAGATTGTGGGATATGATTGTTTTACTGTTATTTGTATAACCATTACTTGTTATTTAAGCATCTGAACTTTCCATTTGCATTTTATAGTATTTTAACAGATACTTCATCACACATACGCAATGGAAGTTACTATAGAAGAGACAGCTATGGAAATTACAGCTTCAAAAGATAGTGAAACTAATCAAAATCAAAGTATGTTGGATGGCAGGGCGATTTCTTACCCACAACGCGAGAATCAAAATTGGGATTCAAAGTCAACAGAAGATCACAGTATTAAGTCTTTTGGTACACCAGATGATAGTCATGGTAGTGATACTATGGATGGAGAAAATATATGCATCAACAAAGACATTTTACGCAATGGTTTATACCAAGAAACTCCAGAACTTAACATAAATGTGAATACTACTTCCGATGATTTACGACAATTTGATGTGCTGGACGATTTAGATCGTCATCCAGATCAAAATGATGGTTCTGATGATGATTCAGATACAGATGAAAGTATGGATTCTGATGTACCAGATGAAGAAATTGAAGCAATGCTAGAAGAAGGTATGTTTCAATGTTTGTATAAATTCGGGATAATTCGAGATCTTTTTTTTGGAGATCAAATTGTTCTCATAGCAAAGAAAGTAAGATTACTTGATTCTTTTTTTTTTTTTTTTAATGTGGTACACAGAATCAAGTTTTTATTTTAAATACTATGTATTAGGTCTGCCCGAGGAATTTAGAGGAAAAAGAAGAGACAAGAAAGATAGTTTACCCTATGAGGAGAAAGAGAAACTTGTTTTAGATGGTATGTGAATACATACAGTATCATATTGTAGGAACTTTGTAAATTTTCGTATCTATTTCCAGATAAATTATAATCTCGATGTTGTATTGAATATCTAATATTCTAATATAATTATCTAATATTCATGTTGCTTCCTATTTTTCTTTCTTTTAGAAATTGGACATAATCATTTTGACGTTCTCCCTGAGGGTTGGGTACAAGTGACACACAATAGCGGAATGCCATTGTATCTTCATAAGCAAAGCAGAGTTTGTACTTTAGCAAAACCGTATTTTCTTGGTCCGGGAAGCGTCAGGAAACACGAAGTTCCTGTAAGTGCCATACCTTGTCTGCAGTACAAAAGAGCGTTAATAGAAGAACAAGAGGAGCAAAAGAAGGAGATGGAACGTGTACCAAACGCCGAAACCTGTAGTCTTCCCAGCGCAAAAATTGAAACCATACAAGAGAATCGTGCGGCTCATTCGTTAGATAGCGAGCAATTGAGAAACTATTGTCAATCTTTGTTTCGTTTTAAATCTATCAAAGTAATGAGGTTTCAGTAAGTATCACACAGGAAACAGCATATCATTGGGGAAAGTTTGTTTTATTGATGTCAATCAATTTTATTGTTTCAGATCTTGGTCAGCACGTCGAAAATTTACAAAGAATAAAAAACATCGTAAGCAACTTGAGCGTCCAACTTTACCAGATGGTACAAAATTAATAACTTTCCCTGTCAGTAGTTCCAGTACAACTGGGAGTGGAAATGCTACTGGAGATGATAATGGGCAGAGACCTGCAAAACACTGGATAATGAATCCATCTGGCAAAAGTTATGTCTGTATTCTTCACGAATACGTGCAACACGCGTTAAAGAAGCAACCGACATATAAATTTAAAGAATTAGGTATAAATATATAATGCAAATAAAATGTAGTTATATATTTAGTATTTATTATTTTATTATATCAAATTTATTTATAAAATTTATTACTAAAATGGAATTGATACATTTTTAGAAAATGCGGCAACACCATATTCCGCGGTAGTTTGTATTAATGATATGGAATACGGAAGCGGATTCGGTAGCAGTAAGAAACAAGCAAAGGCGAACGCGGCTCGGAAGACGCTCGAAATCTTAATTCCTCAAATGAAGGATAAAATTTCTGGCGATAACAGCGGAGAGAATGGATCAAATAATGCTAGTCGTACGATAAAAGCGTCTAGAGGGAATTCTGATGCGGATCTCTCGTTCTTCGATGAAATATCTATCACAGATCCGCGTGTCGCGGAATTTTGTGCGAAAACCACAGAGCCCTCACCACATGCTATCTTAATAACTTGCCTTCAAAGAAATTATGGTTTGGGAGATATGCATATTAATTATTCAGTAAATACATTGAAGCATCAACGAAATGAATTTACAATGACAGTTGGAAAACATGAAGCTACTGTCGTAAGTCTTTCTCTATTTTATATATAATTAATAATGTTAAATATATATAATACAAATTATACGTGTGTTATAAGACATTTTACATATTTTTAAAATTATTGTTAACATGATAATAATATTTATACATATTTTGTAGGTTTGCCGTAATAAGAAAGATGGTAAACAGCGAGCAGCACAAGCGATACTACAACTTATACATCCACACATTCAATCTTGGGGTTCCTTGTTGCGTCTTTACGGATCACGAAGTGTAAAGTCTTTTAAGGAAAAGAAGCAATTGGAACAAGAAATAACCCTTTTGCAGAATAAAGCCGCCGTTAATCAACCGAATCATGCTATTTTAGATAAACTTAGGCAAGAAATGAAAAAATTAGCCGAACAACGCGAAGCAATACAACCTATTGGTAAGTTTGTACCACCAGATTTACCAACAGGATCCGCAGCTAATTTGAATAATGTAGATTTATAAAAAATTAATCTGGGGATTTTTGTAAAACAGAATATCAGTAAGAAAAACATTCTATATACGAAAAAGATGTAAGATATGTATAATGCTTTTTAGAAATTATATACATTCCCAGCAAACACCGATATATAATTGTTACATTGCTATAATAAAACGGAATATAACAGGTAATATAACGTGTACGTTACATGTAACATCCATGTTAGTTGTAATTTCTCACTCATAGATGTAACATTTTAATATAACATATATTACATTGTAGTTATATTGTAATTATATACCTAATAGCACATTGATGTATTGATAAGTCAGTGCTATCTTGGGATTTAATGACAATATAACTACAATGTAATCTATGTAATATTCAAAATGTTACATCTATGAGTGGGAAATTACAACTAACATATACGTTACATGTAACATGCTTGAGTATATAACATTTATATACTGTATTTACTGGGTATATATTATATATATGTATGCATATTCATCTATTATCATGTGTAGCATCCCAGCAAACACAATATATAAATGTTATATACTTAAGCATGTTACATGTAACGTATATGTTAGTTGTAATTTCTCACTCATAGATGTAACATTTTTAATATTACATATATTACATTGTAGTTATATTGTCATTATATCCCAAGATAGCACTGACTTATCAATACATCAATGTGCTATTTGATATATAATTACAATATAACTATAATGTAATATATGTTATATTAAAATGTTACATCTATGAGTGGGAAATTACAACTAACATGGATGTTACATGTAACGTACACGTTATATTACCTGTTATATTCCGTTTTATTATAGCAATGTAACAATTATATATCGGTGTTTGCTGGGATATGTCATTATGTTTGTTTTGTATGTAAGTATATCTTTATACTACTTTATACTTTACAATAATTGTATATCTTTTGAGCATTTTTTTTTAGATGAAAAATTGAATATGTATAGCTATAACAATTGACATATGATATTACATGTTAAACAATTCCCAGCAAACACCGATATATAATTGTTACATTGCTATAATAAAACGGAATATAACAGGTAATATAACGTGTGCGTTACATGTAACATCCATGTTAGTTGTAATTTTCCACTCATAGATGTAACATTTTAATATAACATATATTACATTGTAGTTATATTGTAATTATATACCAAATAGCACATTGATGTATTGATAAGTCAGTGCTATCTTGGGATATAATGACAATATAACTACAATGTAATATATGTAATATTAAAAATGTTACATCTATGAGTGGGAAATTACAACTAACATATACGTTACATGTAACATGCTTGAATATATAACATTTATATACTGTGTTTGCTGGGTTGTAATGTTTGATGTTGTTCATTTCTTTATTAGAAATGAAATGTATAAATATCTGAAAAGACGTTTACAATAGAAAATGTTAAGGCATTTTATTTATACATGGTGCCTAGTATGTTGCATACATTGATAAAAAAAACTTTGTTTTATTAAATAGTTCGAGTAATTTCGATTTTTATTCAACCTCAATTAGAGAACAAATTATATATAAAACAGTGTACCATTTAGTTAAAAGAGATTGATTCTAATACATAGATTTAGATAAATAATGCAAATTTTATATTAAACCCAGCAAACACCGATATATAATTGTTACATTGCTACAATAAAACGGAATATAACAGGTAATATAACGTGTACGTTACATGTAACATCCATGTTAGTTGTAATTTCCCACTCATAGATGTAACATTTTAATATAACATATATTACGTTGTAGTTATATTGTAATTATATACCAAATAGCACATTGATGTATTGATAAGTCAGTGCTATCTTGGGATATAATGACAATATAACTACAATGTAATATATGTAATATTAAAAATGTTACATCTATGAGTGGGAAATTACAACTAACATATACGTTACATGTAACATGCTTGAGTATATAACATTTATATATTGTGTTTGCTGGGAATGTACAACATTTCTTAATTGGATTACAGAATCTCAATAATTCATGATTTACTTAATGTCATTGTGATATATATTCATGATGCAATTTATGCATAACTATGATACTGCCTATATGAATATCAGTCTTAGCTTTTATTATTACAATTTATATTCTAAGTAATTATTGTAAGTAAATTCTACTGTATTGAATCATTTTCAAATGTTAAACTTTGACATTTGAGATTAAATAGTATTTGAAAGAAATTATTGAGTAATTTGTTCATATCTGTAAATATATTATTGTACATTGTTAAAATAAATTTCATATTACATAGCTAAAAATGTGATGTAAACGCAGATGCAAAATAATAATAAAATCTTGTTAGAAGTTACGAGTACATTTATATATTAATGATTGGAGCTGCACATGAGAAGATTAAATCATATAGCACACACTTAAAACAAATTTTAATCTCAAACTAGGATATAATTCTATATAAACAGAGTATTGTAATTATTAAATTGTGATACATATTTTCCCAGAAAGATACTATTTATTTTTCTTTTTTTTACAATCCACTATATTTTTAATATCTACTTACAATATATCATGGACAACATTGTAACTTGTCACATTCATATTATTTTATTTCTGATTTTATGTCTAAGAATCTAAAATTACTTATTACACTACATTGAATATGGAGAAAGGGAATAAATCTATCTGTTATATCATATTTGTTGTATAAAGATATTCAACCATTTTAAATTATCGTATTGGTCAATAAAAACTTGTTTATATAGCCATTGAAGCAACAAATATATTTATATAAATATCTTAATCTTATTTACTGTCCTTCAAAATCTGATCCTTTTACTATGCAAAAAGTTTAATTTGTTGCTACTTTGGCTATTTTACTAGTATAAAAATCTAAAAAATGTTTACATATTAATTTATATAAATGAATTTTCCCCGTTATGTATATAAGATTAAAATAAATTAATATAGGAGGGGGGGGATTTGATCTATATTTAAAAGATATTACTCACAAAACACTTTCAAAAGTATTGTGTTCGATATAATGTAGATAAAATACTGATATGCATGTACATGTCGTTCCATTACAAAATATTTTCAACAGAATTAGAATAGCTATCTATCTCTCTATCTCTTTCAAGTATATCAAATTTTACTTTAATACTGTCAGTTTTATAAAATGGATTATGAATGTTTTATTTAGCTATGAATCACATTCATTTTATTTTATTATATAATTTGTATTATATAATTTGTTCTACGTGTTCTCGTATCTTGTTTGTTGAACTCTTTTTGGAAAACGTCACTCTAAATTGTTCAAAAGTTGATAAGTAATATTGAGATAGACATTACAAGTCCAAGTAACACAACAATTATATTTTGCACTTAGGAACAGCTAATCTTGATATAATATGAATTGTGGGACAAGTCCCCTACAATTGTCTAGATTTTCAAATCTGCATAACTTTCATCTTGTTATATATCAACACAGACAAATTTTTTCTTTTGATTACTTATTAACTTTACATTATAGATAAATTTATAAGATAATAATATATCTCCATTTTGCTATTTTTTAGTTACTTGGATATTGTGATGTTTGCTAGATATATATATATATAAAAGTGTGATAACTTTTTAATTATATCATCATCATATATACTTGAAGAAAATAACACGAATATTCTTTTTTTCTTACGAACATATCACATATGGAAATAATTATACAGCTAAACCGATTTGTTTTATAAGTATATTTACAATTGCAACAATTGAAAAGGAAAGTGTATTCACATTTATTTTTATATTAATAATAAATGGCACAAATTCTGAAATATGTTAGATTCCATATCGTTTGTTCGCAAAGAATTGTAAATGAAATAGAAAAATTGAATACAGAGATATGTCGTTGCTTACAGCTATAAGTAGTATATAAAATGTAAAGACAAATGCAACAATATACAAGTTCAACATTATCTGCTTTGACAAATGCATTTTTATATATTAAAAGTACGAAACAATATATTAAAAACTAATAAATAAGATAAAAAAGTATACTGTGGTCAAGAGTTAATAAAACTTATTCTAAGAATTGCTACTTTCTAAAGTTGCAATAAATTGTAATAATATCGCACGTCAATAGAATAAAGTAAATTATCGAAAGATAGAATATAAATCTATAAAAATCTTTAGAAATAAACAATAAACGAATACTTTGGTATCTGCATAAAATGAGACCTGTTCCGTATTAGATATGATTAAAATTTCATCAATACACATTTTAATCTACACGCACTTAGTACTTTTATAAGAAATTGGGAATATTTTTTTCTATTTGTGCTATTATCTTCTTTACATGCATACAAATATCCTATGCATTAATTGAATCTCTGAGAATTGTGTGTGTGTGTGTGTGTGTGTGTGCGTGTGCGTGCGCGCGCGCAATGTGTTTGTGTGTGTCTAAGGATATATAATAAAAAAAATAAATAAAAACTACATATACTAGAGCATAGTTATGCAATAATACTAAGGTCGTGTAGCTAAATGCACATTATCCTTTTATGCAATTACACAAGTATATACATGCAGGTCTTTTCCTTTGTTATAGGTTTATACTTAAATTTTCAATTTGCTCATTTCATGCACATCTATTCACTATGAATCAGGTCTTAACAATATCAACCATCTTTGTTGTAAATATCTATGTTAAGACTGTATGCATAGAAGCAGTTAAAATGTGTAATAAAAATGAAAATATGGAAAGTATATGTATATATATATATATATATATATATATATATATATATATATATATATATATATATGTATAAGTATATATATATAAGCAACGTCATCCTTGGTTATTCAATCTAGTTACTTAAAATTATCCAACGTATTTTTAAGAAAACATTATATAGATGTATCACAGGTACTGCTACCAGATAGGGCCATCTTCGAAAGACTAGAAAGACTTCGTCTGGGACTGCTACCTCCAAGAAAGCTGCTACTAGATTCCGAGAATATCTTTCGGAAGCTGTAAAATTAATGTGTTATATACAAATAGCAAAAAATATTATATATAAAAAATGTTGAATACATACAATTTACGAATACCGGATTCGGAGGATTTCTTCCAGGGTGCATCATCTGGTTCATAAGGAAGCGGTCCTTGTACAGGTGCATCTTTATCATCCTCTGGACTGTAAAATACAGATGGCATAAATTTATTTTATATGAAGAAACATTGTCACATATTTATATATAATTCATACTTATATAAATATTATAATTACACATATGAGAAAAAAAATATATATATATAATTATATAATATTTTTGCACAAATTTTGTTGTAAGTAAAATTTTTAACATTTAAAAACATACATTTCAGGTTTTGGTCGGTATAATTCTAGTTCGTCTTCGAGATCTGAAACCCTTGCTTTCAATTCATTTCGCTCGTGCAAAATCTCTTTAAGCTCAGCAGTCGTAAATCTAGGTCTATCAGGATCGTCCAAATCATAAATTGCTTTATTCGTTAAATCGGGACAGCCTTGTAATTTACTTAAATCTTCGTTTTCTTTTTTAGCCATGCCAAGTCGACCTCTGAGATTTATAAGTTCTCGGTTTTGATCCTGCAATTGAGCCAAAAAGTCGGCTCTCTCTTCTACTAAACCTCGGGCTTGCATTTGCGCCTGTCGTTGTTTACGTTTCAGTTCCCGTCCAACTACGGTAAGCTTCTCCACTTGAGCAGTCAACTATAAAATACAATAAAATTGAATGTTTTAAAATAAATTTAATTCTCTTATATATAGTAGCTTATGAAAATAATATTATAATGTAAAAATATGCATAAACACAAATTGAAAAAAGATGTAACTATCAAGTAATTAATATTAATTCTTAAGTACAGACGTAGCAGTTTCTTGATTAGATCTTGTACATTTTACTTTATTCAATTAGTGATAATTATGATTAGTTTCTTTGTATTATTATATATATTTATTGTGTGACATTTTTTTCAGTCATTGACTAACTGTCCTGGAGATAACATTAAATTTTTATTAAGTTGCATGCCTATACTTGATAATTAAAACAAAAAGTTTATCAACAAAAAAGTTTTTTTGTTCATATACACATAACTGTTACAGTATACACATAATTGTATACAGATATAAGTACCAATTTACATTTTCAATTTCTGCAGTCTTTTGTGATAATTCTCGATCTCTAGCGCGGATCTGATCTCTCTGCTTATCTATCATGGATCTTAAATGCTGCAAAACTGCTATATCAACTTCTTGACTAGGCGTGATAGCTACAAAATAAAGCAGACAGTCATGTCATCAATTTGTCAATATTTGACAAACATTTTAATACTCATTGGATTAGTAAAGAGTTAATTGGTGTTAGTACTTGTTTGTTTACTGCTGTACTGACTGTCACTTCGTGATTCTTGCAAAGTTTCAGCTAATCGTCTGTTCTCTTCCTGTAATCTAGTAACCATGGCTACTAAATCACGGGATTCCTGCCTCCAGTGTTCTTCAATTTGTTCCAGTTCCTAAAAAAATCAAATAAATATTGTATTATCAATGAAGAACTCATAAATTACATAAATTACAGCACAATTAATGTGACAAATATATGATTACTTTTTCAAATCGTTGTCTATCTTCAGCCTTTCCAATCTTGTCGCTCTCAAGCTGAGAGATCTTAGCGCTCAGCTCTTGTACCGTAGTATTTTCACGCTCATTCTTGATAGCAAGATTCTCGAGTAGCTCTAAAGCATTGATCACCTTTGGCATAAGATTGGTCACCGACGGTGCTCCAAACAGATCTATAAGCTTTTCACATTCCTTCCCTATCTCTGATGCAATGTCGTATACGTCGACCACCGACACGTCCGATGTAACAGAATATTCTTCCATTTTGCACAATGCGTTACTTCTCAGACAAAAAGGCATGAATACAAGTTTTGTCGCAGCGCGTTTTACGTCTATACCTGCTCAATGTTAAGAAAAAGGAAGTCTCGTGGTGGACCTTTTTTGGTCAAAGGAATTTCACCTTTCTACGAATCAAAAATTGAAGAATTTCAAAACGTCTTTGAGAGGATAAAATTATACAAATATCACAGCCAACTACTAAGTGGAATCTTCATGCACGCACTAGAAGAAGACGTCTTCTTTCTGGTATATGTATGTGTATGCTTTAAATGTGAATATACGTTTGGAGTTTATGATAAATAAATTGCGTAATTTAGGTGTGGCGTTAATTGTCAAAATAAAAGCCTGCTCCGCGATCGTCCGGTGGACGTTTGCATCGTGCACTCGTCGTTTCCAGATCGAACACCAGCTCGGAAAGTACAACACGCTCCGATAAATGATATCATAGCAATTCCATTCAGAACGTCATGTTTAAATCCCGGTCGCATACATGGGAGGCGCGGAGCAGATGATTGAGATTATTCACGGTCTGTGTTGTGTTGTACGTGTCTGCGTCTGTGCATGTGTGTGCGTGCGCGATGACAAATTCATCGAGCTCGCGACGACGAGTGGCGCGCCTTCTCTCGGAATATCGAGAAACGAGAAAAATCGTTTTCTCTTATCGCATACTTCAGGTGCATCTGGAAATTCTACCCGCGGTAGTAGATTAATTTAATTGAGAGTTAATAGTTAACTGACTAATCGGAAGAAGCTTATTTTATCTCGATTGATCAATCAAACCTTACTTTACTCTAGGATTTCCGAGTGCGCCCTTTATATTGACATTTTCATAATTTTAGTCTATTGCACAACGATGTGAAATATATATATATATATATATATATATATATATATAATATATATATATATACACACATATATGAATCGCGATAAATTTTTTGAGATATTTCGACTTTTATAAACAATAGATAAAGGTTATTATTTTTGCTTTAATAAAAGAATATTTTATTTTGTTATAAGATTATATATAATAATCACTAATTATATACATATGTAACATATATATATTTTAAAAAATTGATTTTTTTATTTAATAAGTCAGAAAATTGATTTAAAAAAAAAATTAATTTTGCTTTGTACAAGATCTTTTTGAACCTTTTATTAACTTATTATGATGAAAATGGTAACCATAGGAATAATTTATACTTTGTTAGATCGTTAAAATGTATTTGGACATTCCGAATATTCTACAATTTAAGTGAAGCGAAATTATAATATAAGATTGCTGTGTGTTTCGAAGAAGAATATAGTAATAAATATGAGCGAAGAAGAAAATATTATCGCAATTTCGATAATTCGAATGGAGAAACTTTTGGCGGGAATTTCTAGCAAACTAAGAGAATTGGTAAATATATATATATATACATATATATGTCTTTTTTGTTATTTAATTATATAATTATATATTATTTAATAGATTGAAAAACGCGGTATTGAAACTTCGCTGTTGCTTCAAGAAATTATTAATCTCATTGAACTGTTTAAAAAATGTGTCAAATCTCGAATGAAAAGGACTTCTGAAGGAGAACGTATGCATGTTATCAATTTGCATGAAAGCCAGACAAAAATAGCGGAAACTTTATCGGAATTTGAAGGTAAAATATATATTATCTCTTTCACAATAAAATAATGTTTTTATTAGATATTTAGAGCACAAATATTTAGACTAAATTATACATATAAACTCTGGCAGTTTTGCAGAAACTATCTAACGAACAAAACTCGAATTTCGAAATTTTTATAAGAGATATGGTTGTCTGCATAAACGACGAGGAAGAAATAATGAGAAGCATTCGAAAAACATCAGAATTAGAAATACCAAGAGAAATGTATGTAAAATATCTATTATTATTTAAATAAAAATTATCTAATTTATCTAATGTATATAATTTTAAAATAATTTTTATAAATAATTTTATAACACAATTTTATTATTATTTTTAGAGAGGAATCACTGCAAAAGATGTTAATTGTAGCAGAAGAAGAAGAAATGCGAATGAAGTCATCGCAAGCTGAAATAGATTCAGCAAAATGCAAATTATACGATGTCATGGAGTTCAATGCGGAAGCCGAAAGGAAACTTTTCGACGTATGGTAAATATATTTTTATTTTTAATTTAGAAGATATGCACAAATTTCAAAAATTACGTAATTAAATTTATCATCCAGTAATGGATTATAAATTTTAGCGCGAAAGTCGAGCGGAAATATTTAGATCTTCTCGCTAAATATGATCGCGATATTGGCGGATTTCATGCTTCGATGGAGAAATTGTCAAAAGACAAGGAAATTATTGAAGCAGAAACGAAAAATGTAGAAGTATGTATTGATATCCTTCTGAAGTGCATGATATGTGTGCAATTTTCTAAACATTAGCATGGTTTTCTTTATTAGGATCAGTTGAGTATACAACGAGTGTTATATACTCAATATAAAAAGGAGCGAGAAATAGCGCTGATGATAGCTTTTACCAAAAAATTAGACATGTTTAGGCAAAATCGTGCCGCCAAGATTATTCAAAAAACATGGAAAACATATTACGAACGCATTTCTTTAAAGAAACGAAGAAAAAGGAAGAAATAGTCAACTTTATTAACTAATCTGCTTTTTACATATTGTATCTTGATATACATATACCTCACTTTTATTTTATGTATCTAATTCAGTTTTAGTTTAAATGAAAAAAATATTCTTGGCAACTTTTGCGATAAGAAATGAGTATACGCGAAAATAATATATTTTTTTTTAAATAAAATACACATAATCTATTATCGCAATGATTAGACGGAAAAGTGTAATAATTGACATTTACGTGATCTAATATTTTTTTTATTCACTGAGTTGACAAAGCATAGCCGCTCCTCTCATGATCCAATGTTCTGGTGGTTTTATCGTGGGCAACCATATGGCTATGACAAAATTCGTAGAGTGACCAGTGGTGGACAGTACCCCGCGACGTTCGCTAGTTTTATAAAGCGGACAAGTATACGATCGCCTTTCCTCGATATCCTGCTTTTTCTTCGGTATCAGCCACAGCTGTAAAAATAATATGTATAGCGAAAAATTAAGCTTCAGAATTTTACGCAATACATCAATAAAAATTGAAATTTTATCTCTAAAACGTGTGTTCCAATAAAGTTGTCTAGAAAGAACGAGAATACATTTTTTGTTATGCATGTCTTTGCATTTTTCTTAATTTTAATTAAGTATTATTAATTTAAAAAAAATATCAACACGTTAATTATTTGAAAAATAAGTGTCTTATCAATCTGTATATTTTTTGTTTGAACAAATAAAACCATACACTTACAAAGGGTACATTGTCGTAAAGCACTTTGGAGAAGCTCTCTTCTACGCACATTTTTCCATATCAAACCTTGCGCCATCCAAAAATAATCCATAAATATAAACACCGTCTTCTGGCGCGGATGTAAAGACAGTTTCTTTAAGAATTACAAAGTCAAATGTGAGAAGATCTATAGGAATCCGATACTTTCGCGCGTAATTTTGCCGTATTCCGGTTAAAAATGCTTGCGTGAAGTAAAATCCTGGTAACCAAAATGTTACGGGCGGTCCTTTATCGTACCATTTCTGGATAATAATGAATTTATATGAAAATGAACGTTTTGAGTTCAAAAGAGTAAAATATTGAATATAGATAATTACCTGTAGAAATGTTAATCGATGTAGAAAATCACTAATATAACTACCCAAAGGCTTTAGAGACGGATACGAATTTTGTTTCCACAAAAGTGGTATCTTGCTCATCAAAATTGCCTCGTAAATGTCTTCAAGTTCGAAAGACATTGAGATCATACCTATAAATGCAGCATCGCGATAATATAATTTTTTGATATATGTATTTTTAGTTTTCAAATAGTTTTATCATTATGTCATAATTTTGAGAAAATTACGATCAAAATTACAAAAAACTATTTTTGTTTATTTTACTGTGCTATATAGATACTGCATAATGGAGAAGTTTTATTGTAATTATCAATTTTAACATTCGATTTGTATTTAGCAATTTAAAAAATCCCAAAGTTTGAATGTATCGGAAAATATTTGGTAAAGACTATTTGATAAAATAATAAATTTGATAGAATAATCTAACTAATTCTAAATACTTCACAATTTGCTCATAATAAATATTTAATCGTAAATATCTTATTAACCATGTAATCAAAGATTTATTTTAAAGTCTAAAAGTGTCTCAGCAACACATTTAATATTATAATTACAACAAAACTTCTCTAATGTAGTTATTTATAAATTTTTTATTCGAAGACCGAATTAACAGAATTAAAAATTGCAGGAAATAATTATTTCTTATATCTTTTTTTGTTGAATTGTGATTTGAGTTAATAATCAGCAATTTTGATTTCGGATGTTTTTTATCGAAGAATAATTAATAAATAGATACCTTTGATAGCTTTTCGTACATTGATGAGGCTATTTCTGATGCAATGTAATAATTTGTTGAATCTGTCCATTTCTTGCACTAGTACAGTATTCATGCTTTCGCTATATAACGTAGGATATTTTGCGAGTGCTGCAATAAGATCGTAATCGTCTGGAAGTTTATCTAAGATTTCTGTCGCGACGTTGTAAACCACCTCATCATCAGACGCTTGTCTCAAACCAGGTTTGACAGCTTCCTAAGAAAAAAATAATAGAATGCTCTTCATTATTTTCATTTAAATTAGACTAGTTCACATTTAGAGTTCCATTCTAGATTGGATCATCTATAATAAGAAATTATCACTTGTTAGAAAGATTGTGCGAAAGAAACATACCTCTCTCTTAATTTTCCAAAGATCCTAGAGATGCGAGCAATAAGTAAAAAATATTACATAAAATCTACTAATGATTAATATAATTAATTTCATTATTTTTATGATATGCAATATCACAATTACATACCGTTCGATCCTAAATAATGTTGGATGAAATTACAAAAAGTAGATAAATATATGATAAGATGTATAATATTATGGTTATTGTTTGGATGAAAATTTACTTGAGTGAGCAGTAGCGAAGTGAATAATAGGTTTGTCTCTCGTTGATCTTTAAGGATGTCTGCATTTTCGTTCATGCCGAATACACTTGGCTCAGTAATTATCGGAAGTTTTCTCGTGTATGCGACATACGCCTCATATTCTCTGATAATCGGACAGTAGTAAATAGTGGACGATACGTCGAAGTAATATATTTCATCGGCTAATAGTTCTCTAGATGCAACGACATAAATGATAATCTCTTCATGAATAAATACCATAACAGAATCAGTTTCTAAATTAATCGACCAAACTAGCCAAAATTTTTGTTTATTAATTAGAAATTATAACGTTTCGACCATATGGTCAAACGTTAAGATCGTTTCCATCAAGAATTTTATACTTGAAAAGGACCATAACCATATGATCGAAATGTTGTAATTTCTAATTAATAAACAAAAATTTTGACTAGTTTGGTTGATTAATTTAGAAACTGATCCTGTGATTAATTGACTAGCGATATTAATATATTTTAATTTTTAAATACCATAACATTACATAACTTATTGATACTTACGGACAATAAAACTTTGCCAAGATTGTGTTCAACGTTCTGCGGTCCCATTCGTCCGTAACTCTTCCTCCGTAATTGCATTCACCAGTGAGGTACTTTAAAGCATCGAACTGCACATCCTCGTAATCATCGAGGAACATCTTCAATTGCAGAACGCTAATTCTCAGGTCGGTCTCGTTGAATTCATAGGGGATGTTCCACCCGATCGGGCCGAACTTGCGTCTCTCTTGCACGACAGCGTGGAAAAAGCATAAAGAGTACAGGAGCTTCTTGAAGTACTCGCTCTGCATACAACCTTCGAAAAATTCGGAATTACTGATCGGGTCGCTCGTGTAGAATCTCAAGATGTTAGGTCTGAGTCCCTTGGGCGGTTCATTCGTTATCTTGATGCCATTCTGGAGAATCGTGATGGGAAAATGTTCCGATGGATAACTGGTCAGCCACAGCCGGAAATCAGGGTGAATCGTGTCGGGTATCAGTCCCTCGCAGATCTTCTCGAGGGTCGGCATCCAGCTCTTGGCTAGATGACAATTTTGCAATACCACCCAGTTACCGTGTTGAACGCCGTTTTTATCAGACCTTCCGCTATTGGTCCTTGACCTGATGAATAATAGCGCAATCAATTTTTGCAAAGTTTCTCTCTATACGAATATTTACCTTGGCCGAGAGACAAGTAGAAGAGACGCTTAGCACCGTAACCTTGCTCATCGGCGAATGTCAGCAAGGCTTGCGCTGGATCAGCGCCAGGTGTTAAGATAAATATCAATGGAATGCAACAGTTCGAATCCGCGAAAGAGGATACCAAATCGAAAGGAGGAGCTTCCATGTATTGAGTGCCTAGTTCTTCTGCAATATTCGAACGCGATCGATGTTCGTCAAAATTTTTCGATTCAAATGTTCGTATAATTTTTGTGTTTCTTACCTTCTACGAATAATTGTACAGCCGAGATCATTTTATCAGGTCGGATACATCGTAGAATTAATAATCGTTCGAACAAATTTATATTTTTATATGGCAAAGGAAAAGATAGCTTCTGCGGTTCTCTCGAGTCGAATATCTCTTTCCATTCGCTAATAGCTTTAGAGAACGATTCTCTGATGCCCTACGAAATTAATATTAAGACATTCTATAGTATACACGCAAATATTAATTAATTAATATAAATATTAGTTAATTAATTAAATCGCGAGCGCGCGATTATACAAATTTACTTCGAATCCTTTGATATTATCCAATCTACATAACTGGTCCCATTGCTTAACAGGTAGCCATTCTGCGGGATTGACATGAGGATTTTCTAAGCCTATCCCACCGGTTAACAGGAACAACCATTGACTCGCGGTTTCCGGCATATCGCTTATTCCGCGTAAATTGATAACGAGAAGCAGCGCGAAAAGTAGTTTATCCTTTTCAAACAACGATCTACAGATATTGACGTAAAGGAAATATGTAAAGTATTTGGTCAGGTCTTTCAGACGTTTTTCAACAGTGTCGGCTGGCTCCGTATTGCTGATAGCCATATTGTAAAGATTTACAAACCAAACCAACGAATATTGATACATAGGATCTATATTGGTTAAAGACGCTGCAAAGAAAATGATTTAAAATTTGATAAAAAAATTATTTTATTTCCTTATATTAATTTTTTATTTTCAATAAATACCTATCGTAAAGAATAATATAGTTGAATAGGCTGCGATAGGTTGATACTGAAGTCTCGCGGCGTCAATCGATTTTTCTGTGACTTCCGTGGCTGCTTGTTTCACTTGGATATCGTCGGATAAATTTTTAGACACCATTAGGATATCGATGGCTTCCTCGTCCTCTAAGATGTTACCTTTTGCTGTAGAAAGTACTTCCAAGATTTTATCTTCTGTCTCCTTCAACATTCTATGTAAAATAAAATTATGAGTAAGGATAGAATATAAATTCCTGATACTACGCGACGAGATTAAAAGAATATACTTTTTATTCGCAGCACTTTGCACGATCAAAATGTTCTTCTCTGATTCTAAGTCGGGTCTTTCCCTGGCGACCACAATACCGAGTAACTGATCTTCTAAACCGCTCGGAGTTATCATAAAATTCAGTAGAGTTACTCTCACAGCTATTTCCGGCAGATAATGAGGATTTCTTAATTTTGTCGTAATGTAAAGCCTGTCAATAATATTAATAAGTATTATTTTATACACAAAAATTTTATTTTATGATTTACGATTATATATTTCAAGATCTTAAGCGAAAAAAATGAAGAATATATTCTTTAAAATATATTCTTTTTAATTATAGAGCGTACCTAAAATTAGTGTTATATTCTACGACGGTATCGCCCAATTTTATGCATAATGCACCAGCCTGTTTGAACGTCTGTTTGAGAAGTATCGGCTCAAGAACGGCATCTAATTCTTCTTCCACGTTTTCCAGTAATACCGGTTGTCCAAATTGTATCGCGTTTTCCAAGGTCCTTATATAATCGTGCTGGCTCAGCCGAATAATGCTTAGATTATTCTTTTTTTCCAAGTTTCTTATCCATTTATTAGCTTGGCTCTGTGGATCTATCATTAGCGGCCATCTTCTGGCATTCCTAATAAAAATGTAGGATTACACGATGATGCAGATTTATTATTCGGAAATTGACTTACATAACAATGATTCCGTTGTCAACGGAAAACGCATCGGCGGGTAATCCAGCGATGATCCAGGTTCTAATTAAAACCGGATCACCGAGTATCTCGCGCAGCTGAAAATCGTGGCTGCAAATCATTTGCAGATCCGTGCACAATTGCATCCATTTATTTATCTGTTGCACGCGAAACGGCATGGTGAACGGACCTAAGTAAGCCACTACGCCGGAAGCGATTATTATGTCGCCTGTTAGCCGATGGTATCTATAAGAAAATAGAAAGAATGTTGAATCAAATACTCGAGGTTTTATGAAATAAATAAAAAAATAGGTTTCAGATAGATCTCTTACTTGTCGCCTAATTGTTTTGCAGTTTGGGACCAACGCGCATATTCTCCACCCAATCCTCCGATAAGATCCTCGGCTCGTTTTAGTTTTGTCTCGCAGTCCGTCACTTGATCCGACATGGCTTGAAACTCTGCCTTTTTCTTGTTTAAGGTTTCTTGAAGATGTAACAATTTTTCCTAATACAAGAATTTTAACGTAAAATTTATAAATATATCAATATTTAAATTCACTGAAACATTTAAATACGTTATACCTGCACTTGACGTAGTTGTTCTCTCTTTAAGTTTAACTTTTCTATAGCATCGTGATAGACTGCTTCAGCTTTTGCCAAAGCTTTTCTCTTAGGCGCGACGATCTTAGCGATTGTGTCGTACTCTGACATTGCAATGACCCAACGGCACAATCCTTCACAAGCCGTCGAGACTTTCTTTATCTTCTCCGGATCGAAATCTGGATTAGTCAGATATTCATTTCGTATCGTTTCTATCACTTTATCCGGTATATTATCCTTATCAAAATGGAGCAATGAGTCCAAAAATTTAGCATCGCTCAGCATTCTCAAGGCAGCCTTCCAGTAATCATCAACGTGCATGCCCTCCTTCGTCGACACTTTTTCCGGTTTTATTTGCTGCAATAATTTATTTAAACTTTAACAAATGTATCTAGATAATAATTACAAATTTTTTTGCGATCGATATAATACATGCTATTTTTTCTTATAAGTATACCTTGAGAACGCAAACACTTTCCACAATAAGCTTCACACCATACGGTGGATGTTTCATTACTTTCACCACCGCAATATCTGCGGATGTTAACGTGTCCAAGGCTGCTTGAGCGCGATTTAAAATAGGCATAGCTTCAGCTAAATCAGCATCGCATTCAGCTTTTATCACAGCTGCTTCGTCCGCTACTATCTGATATTTTTTTTATTACGCATACATAGGAACATAATTATCACTTTTTTTATTTATATATTTTTATATATTATTAATGTTTACTTTAATATTAATTTTATATATATTAATCGCTTGTACAATCTTACTTGTGCCGCAGCTTCATCAACTTTGACAACTTTTTCAAATTCCGCGACGTCTTGACTCTCTCTCTCGACATCGGCTAACATTTTTTGAATATCCTGCGTGGCTGTGATTAATTTCGGTTGCAATTGCTTTAATATATCTTGCATATCTGTTACTTGATGCTGCGTACTGTCCAACTGTCCTAATCCGCCTTCGTATCGAGCTTTAACGTGCAACACTTCTCTGCGACATTGAAAAGTTAATTATGGAAAAATTTTTTAAGGCCATAACAACAATTATATTTACCCGCGTTTTTTGGCAAGCAAACTCTGAAAGGTGTTGATCATTTCAAGGTAAGAGGTAGGTGTCACATAATTGCGTCTTTTTAAACGAACGAAGAACTCTTCGCTTAACTTTTCAGTGGACATGTGGAAAAATTGACACATGTCAATACTGGCTTTTCTTTCCTGATCAGTAAGTTCGATCGTCGCTAAAAATTTCGTTGCGACAGCTAGCAGAGCATCTTCAGGCCATCGCTTGAGTAAATCAATTATATAATACAGTATACTATAAAATAATACATGTCTGATCTTCTAGAGCTTTTCAGTACCTGAAGCCAATCTATGGTGCAACAGTTAACTAAAGCCGGGAACTTCCTGATTCGATTTCTGAAAGCGTCGCCGATTGGAGACATGGTGACAACGATATGTAGCTGATCACGGCATATTTGCACAAATAAATTAAAAAGCGCTGCAGGGCTACCGTCTGTTTGTAACGCTCGTTCTCGTTGTTGATCAATATGTTTCATTTTTTCACATATCTCAGTCTTCTCGTCAGCCGTGTATATATTGGGTACCTGAGTAAAATAAAAAATGTGAAATTTTCTGTAATTTTCGAATGAACACAGAGAAAAACGGAGGAAGAGATTTATCATTTTTATTTACTTCTCCAGAATTCAACATATTGCTAATATCCTCCAAGAAATTCTCCTCTTTAATCTGCGTGTCGCTGAAGAAGAAAGTCGAGTGCAACTCGGTTGCAGTGGCTTTTCTCAGAATAGTTTTGATATCCTCGTGCCATTCATGCATGCCATATTGTTGCGTAAGCTCGACCTGGAATACGTCGTAATCGCAAATATGCGACGCCAGTCTGGTTAAAGATTGCCTTCCGGATCCGCCAACTCCTGCGAGAAGAGCATGACTTCGCGGTTGCTTGATGATACGGGCTATCCTCGAAAGATGCTCGATTGCGTACCTTGACATTTATCCTGAATTTAGCTCATGAGATAAGATAATTATTTAACAAAAATGTAAAACAGAACTTACCGAAACAATACCAAGTTCATAGGCTTCTTGATCATTGAATTGTATTCGGAAAGATACGTCTCGACGTTCTCTCGCAATTGTTCTAGGTCAATAACTTCTTGATACAAGCGTATATCCGCCTTGGCATCGATGAAATCACAATATAACAAATTTCGTAATTCGTTTATGGTGATCTGCAAAAACATGTATGATGTAAAAAAGCATAACTTTCTTTTTTTTATCAATGAAAAAACTTAATATTACTTTTTTAATATCTTGTTCTTTTTTAGGCAATAAATCTTCGAAGAGCTCCTCCATTGGAACTTCCATACGTTCTTTTAGTGTTACATCTATTTGCTGTATTAGCCAATTAATATCGGTTTCATCAACCAAACGATCGCCAAACACTCGAAGTATCTCGTGAACCCACAATCGTTTCATATTCGAGAGAGCGGGCATCGTTTCCGGAACCGATAGAAGCACTCCCTATGTAAGTAATAATTATAAATGCAGCAATTAACACAGAATTTTTCTTCAAGTGAATAATACGAATGTATGAGAATAACCTGGAGCACTTTGGAGAAATCTCGAAGATTAAACATATAATGACACTTTGCAGGTGTTGGTAGCAGATTGCACAAGCTCTGTTTATAAATATCTAACGTTGCGAGAACAAGTTGATCAATGCACGGATCAAATTCTTTGCTGAAACCCCTATAAAAATACGAATAAATTAAAAATATTTGCATATTTTCTTTAAATATTAAATATTTTTTTAAATTTATGGACCTCGTATCAAGATGCCACAAAACGATTTTGCTGAATATCGTAATCATAACGTCATCCTCAAATTCGGATATCGCCAGAACGAAGAAGTGCCGTTTGAATCGCGGTGTGACATCTTTTCCGGTAATTGGCGGAGCCATGGCGCACATTAATTGAATCTCGATCAATTTTATCATCGTCTCTTCCTTCCTGTCATACCTACAAGTAAGTAATGAATTGTATAAATATTGCTTATAAATTAAAATTAATAATAAATTGAGAAATATTTTTTTTTTTGCAAGCGTGTATAATGTTTTAATTGTACAATTTTATATTATTTTATTATTTATAAATTAAAGTCTGGAAATTAAATATATAATTGAATTCTATATCTCACCATTGCCAATGATCCAACCATTGTCGTAGCAATTCTATAGGCGGTTGCGCTCCGAATGTTTCTTTCAGCGGCATCGAGACATCATCAACGAAGACGATCCAGCGTTTTCCTATAGGAGGACCGTAGACACCCTTACGTCTGCGATCTAATTTGCTCATAATAATATCTTGTGTTTGATTAGCGGTCGTCTGCGCGGAGAAATTGATCAATAATGGTCTATTCACCGCAGCGTTATTTTTCTTCAGCAGAAAGTCGATTATGTATACGGACTTTCCGGTCCCAGTCGGACCCACAAAGAGCACTGGTTTTTCGTGTTGGACCAACATCTGAAAGAGCGCCGTATATCGTATCGTTTCTACTGTCGGCACAATTATCTGATTGACTGGGATGTCACGAGGAATCGACGGCGCGGATATTAACTCGTCCGACCATAGTTTCCATTTTCCTTTGCCCTGAAATAACGCAGTTTCAGCAAGATATAATAAAAACATTTTGCAAAAGATAAAGAATCAGACGAGATGTAAGGAAAGTTAAATTTTTTTTTCATTTTAGGTGTTAAAATTAGATAAATAAAAATTTTTATAAATACATTTTCGTATTCACCTCTTTGATAAATCTGTAATCGAATACCAGATGATGCTTCGGCATGATAAAGATGTAAGGTTTCAAAGGCGGTGGAACTAGTTCTTGTAACTGAAATTCATTCATTAGGGCGAGTGGAAATTCTTTCTCCAGAAGCCCGCGAAATAAAATGCTAAATTGTTCCCTGTACTTGGCCTCTAATGTGCCTCCCATCGCCCAAATGCACGAAAAAAAGAACGAACCCTGCATATTTGAAGTTAAATCTATTGTCACATATTTGCAAATAACGTTTTATCAATTATTTAATTATCGAATTTTTCAACCTCTATCTGTGCTCGCAGATCAAGCTCGCTTAGGTTCTTTACAACTTCTTCGTTATAATAATCATCCATGAAGCAATCCATGAGATAAGTGATGGATCGTAAAAGATTCGAATCAGGCATCGGACATATTTCCTACGAATCAGACAAATCTAAATATAATAAATCTCTGTTACAAATTAATTCTAGTTTTTTAACGAGAAGTCGTTTCTACCTTTACGTTGCAACGGCGTAATAAATGAAAGAGAGGTTTACAAAATCTGAGGAACAACGATTCGTATAGGAAGGTCCTCAACCATTCGTCTATCACTTCCGGTAATTTCGCTATCCAAGAATTTAATAAAGGCTCCCATCCCAACGCTTCAGGCTCCATATAAATCATGCCTGTTTCGAGTTATACGTTAATCATTCAGTTTCAGATATTTTGCATTTATTGCGTTGTTATGAGAAGATTTTATTTACCGCAACGAGATACCGTGGCCGGTGAAGCTGCTTCCAGATCCAATGGTTCGAATATCAAATTGGTCGTCGGTGCCAACTGAATGATCTCCCCGCTCATCAGACACAGTTTCTTATTGTCATCAAGAACAGTATTCATACTCTCGATCCAAATCGCGTCTATCGGACCGTCAAAGATCAACCACTTTCGATTGTCATTCGTCGAGGTTGCAAAAGCCCGATAACTGACAGCCAGAATGCCATCAGACCACTCATGAGACGCCGGATCGAATTGTCCGTACAACTGTCCCAGCGTTATCGATTTCGGATTAATCACCGTCATCTCTACTTTGCGCTCGTTTATCAAATTCTATGCAAAATTAATTAAATTTGATTGATCGAATCATTATATACATATATAATTCTGTTTTTTATATGTTCGCAGATAATCTTATACCTTCTCCTCGCAAATTTCAAGAGCATCAGCTAGCATTTTATAAGCCGTGGTCTTGCCGGCAAAGGGATACCCGACAATCATGAATCCATGCCTGACCAACATCATTTCGTATATCTGCTGAATTTTTTCGAGAAATACCGGGACACATTGAATGTTCGCGGCGGTGCACGCTTGAGACGCAGATGCGTTTAAATGCACGTAGTTCGGCTCCGGAAGTTGCACGTTTGGAAAAAGATCCGAGGTAATACCCTAAAACAATATATACATATAAAATATTTTGACGTACTCTTTTTTTTATTTGCGCTTATAGGAACGTATATATACGTGAAATAGGGGTATATCTTCGCTGAGAAATTTGGGCAAATTGACATCCTTGATACTGCGCAGGATTAAGATGTCCTCGTTTTCCTGCGGATATTTCAATTTCAAATTTCCTGCTGCAATTAAGACAGACTTTACCGCTCGCATTCCGTAGTCGTAATGATTCTGACTGGACAATTGTTCCGAGCACAATTTATAAGCCATAACTATCTTTACAGATAGAGGTCTTGCATTGTAGAATCCATATGAGTACAGCGTGTTCTCCGCTATTAACGCGTAATCCGGTACCTAAAATCGAAAATATATATAATATAAAATAGCGAAAACTCGCAATAATATTTTTGATGGTTCACCATCATGGCTACTGGTCGAAACAAGGCCTTGAGATTGTCTGGCAATTCTGTTCTGCCGGCGTATCCCGGATTCATCGTGATGAATACCGCGCAGGTACGATCGAGCTTCAATTCCGTATCCTCGAATACCAGAGTCTTCTTATCCGCATGTATAGCACGTTGAATAGTTAGGATTTGCTGTGCCACAACCGACAGAACCTCCAAATCGATACGATTAAATTCATCGAAACAGGACCACGCACCTGTGCTAGCCAATCCCTAAAAATATAACAGTATTCGAAATCAGAAAATTTATCTATCTATATTTATTTTTAATGCTGTATATTTTATGATTGTAAACTTTAATCTCTCTCTAATTAAATCTTTTTAATCTGCGTACTTTGAAAAATTTGCCCAGGGCGATGTAGTCCAGCCCCTCCGAGCAATTGAATACAACGCATTGCTTGGCGACCGCCTTCGCTAGATCTTTGGTGGTCTCCGTTTTTCCTGTTCCTGCAGGTCCTTCCGGTGCACCGCCAAGATGTAAACTAAGTGCACCGAAGAGAGTGCGATAACATCGATCGGTGAGTGGTGTTATTACTAACCGCGACGTATTGCCCAGATATTCATATGCATAAGCCAGTGTAGAGTTTATCATCATTGTGTGCAAGTCTTCGTCCTATATAAGAGAGAAATAGAAATGATATACAATATATATATTGTAAAAAAAGAGGTCACGTTTGAATTTACTTACCATCCAATAATATCTCAGTTGACAAAGCCATTTAAAGTCCGTGACCTGATTCACACCTTGCTCGAATAATTGCGCCAAGACGTCGCGACTGTGAACGTCAAGCGTCACTAAAGCTTCTGTAAGAGAAAAACTAATTTAATTTTCAACAATTGTGTAATTAAACTAATATTTTCTGAATTATTTAAAAAATATCTACCTAGAGTCGTCCGGTTCTGTATTGATAATTTACCACGAACAAACTTAACGATTTCATTAATTTCGTGTGTGCACATTTCCACATAATCTTTTAAGCTTTCAAGACCCTTCGGAAGCTTGTTAGTAACATCTGCCGTCCAGTATAGTTTGCTAACACAAAGAATGGTCTGACCCGGCCATTCCAAAACCCATTGACTTCTAGCTTTAGTCACGAAAGCATTTTTAGCGCGTATCACCTGAAGAGGAAACAGATTGATATATTAATGCATTATTGTATCAATATACAGGTATAACAATATTGTTTCTGTGTGTAATTCGATTAACCTGAGCTTTCACACTTTTTTTCATATCAGTTTCAAGTTCGAGGAGCCACTTTTCCACTTGTCCGCGTGCAGCGGCCGTATCGATTATGTCTTCAAGAACAATCTCCTCTCCTTCGGATGATATCATTGCTATGGCCTCCATATTCTCGGTAAAGCTCAACTTTGCAATGCCTTCAAAGCACTTTCTCAAATGCGGCTGCACTCTACAATAATTAACAATTAAACAAATAAATGCGAATGACAATAATTTGTTTAAAATATCGTACCGTGTGGGATCCTTGGTTTCGGACAATATTTCTAAGAGTTCATCATTAGAAAGAAAGAAGAATCGTGGGAAGAAGAGCCTTTTCTTCTCTAGGTAAGCTGCAAGTCCTTTTTGCACCAATTCAAGCAGATTGGTACATTTTTTCAAGCGATCTAGCATCTTGTCGATCTCGACAACAATCATGACTGCTGGATCAGCAGCAACGATTGTCATAAGTTCTCTCCAAATCTGTCTTATGTATTTTTAATTTTAGATTGTTTAAAATTTATATATGCCACAAAATAATTTACTTTAAAATAACTAAGAAGTAAAATATATAAGGCTCTGATAAAATAAACATAATAAAAATCCAATAATAGGCCAATAAGAGCCGCAACGCGGGTGGTAAAATCGTAAGTAAAAACAATAAAAAGGTATAAATCAAAAATAAACTAAGACAAGAAATTTAATTAAACGTTTGATCCTTCCTTGGGATCATCTTCGGTAACTGTCAACACAAAAATAAACAAAGTATGTAACATAAAAAGTTTTTTTAAAACATTACGCTATCAAAAATGTCAGACTAAAAAAAGATATAAATACAGAATACGTACATAGGAAAAATTAAAAATTATATAACTCATAAAGTCATAGCAAAATCAGACATAATGGCGTGCGTCGCAAGACAAGCCTCTCATCGATTCCAGTCGTTGAAAGACAGAAGTAACGTTTAATTAAATTTCTTGTCTTAGTTTATTTTTGATTTATATCTTTTTATTGTTTTTACTTACACCTTTACCACCCGCGTCGCGGCTCTTACTGGCCTATTATTGGATTTTTATTGTGTTTAATTTACTTTAATTACAAACTTTGTCTACGGCACTGAATCGTCGACTCTCCTCCGGCATCTGTTGCTGTATATCGGGTGATGAAAAAATTGGTTCAAGATACATCCACGTCGCTTGAACTTTTAGCCAATAATCCATGATATCTTGCAGCAAGAGCAATTTGTTTTCCCATTCCCTGATAGCATAAACGGTTTTACAAATTTTGTTCGACAGTCAACGATTCATCACATTTTTTTAATAAAATTATCGGAGCTTTTTGAGGAAACCTACAGAGTTTCTTTCGCAAATGGCTTTATGTACAGAGAATTCTTCATGGTCTGGGCCTTCGTCAGGTGATCGTCCAGTAATAGCTGTATTTCATCCACACTGGCAATAACATATGTGCCAGTATCGCGATAAAGATTAACAATGAACGCGATATCCGCCCAGTCGGAATACATCTTAAACAAGGCTCTCTCCAGATTGCCTTCTTTAGTGGCTGCCTCGGATATTGTCTCGAATTTCGCCACGTAATCGCCTAATCCATAATCGAGAATCTACGGATGTATAAAAATAATACATAATAATTATAATATCTTATATATGTTTATGAACATTTTACTACATAAATTTGCGACTTGCCTTAGCCAACGTCATGTATTGATCGACTTTTATCGGGAACCCAACAATCTCCGAGACTTGCTCCCAATGACGGCTTTTCAGGGAAGGATTACCGAGAGTTAATATCACTGGCATGTGCTCCTTGAATTCCTCGATTCTCGTTTTCACAATTTCCGCCAGCTTTCTCACCGTGGGTTCTTGAAAGGCCTTCTCCAGCTTGTACACCGTACGATACGCGATACCGGTTTCGTTTTCAATCATTTCGGGATCGTAAGAACCTATCATAGCTTCCGTCCACATTTCATAGTTAGTCAAGAACTCGCAGGCGATGTCGTAGAATTTTTTGTAAGGTGTCAATTTCTCGGCTACCTAGACAGTATAAAAATGAAAGAAAAAGTGTGTAAGATCAGCATTTTTGTTATTTCGCAGAGAAACATGTGTGCAATTTATATAATTTTTATTTTTAATATAATTTAAAATATTAATAAATTGTATATATAAAGCAAATTTGAAACATATGGATAGATTAAATATTAAATGATAAATGATGTCCTACCTTCTTCCTCAAGGGATACTGTGAAATTTCCCAGCCGAATAATTTCTCCTCGTCGTTGAATTCGGCGATTATATCCATAGCAGCGACCAGTTTGTTATCGAGACTCGTAGCTTTCTTCTTGTATCGTTGTATCTCCTCGATATTACCCCAGTATTGTAACTCGTTGCAGTGTTTCTCGTAAATTTGAAGATCCTGCTCGAATCTTTCGATTCTAGCTTTGAGCGTCGCTTGATATTCGCCTGTTTTACTTGCAACTATCTCTCGATGCTTTTCGAAAATTTCAGGCATTTTGTGATACCTAATGTGTTAAAATGTCAGCGCAATTGTAAGAATTTATATAGAATTTGTAAATATATATTATTTCAACAATTTTCTCACACTTTCCGTAATTATATCAAGAGAGAGTGCAATTTACTGTTTTATTCTACATTAAATTAAAATTTTAAATTATTTTATAAATTAAATTATTAGAATTGCACTCACCAATGGAAAGCAAAATTGTTGCTCTTCAACTCGACCGGCGTTAAATGATGATAATCCGATAAAAATATTATATATTTCATTACTTCTCTCAATCGAGTTTCTAATTCAAAAACTGTTTCTGTTTCAGATTTATGTATAAAAGCTTGCAATTTCATGAGTTCTGATGTATTGGGTGGTATACTTAATGCATGATCCGCAATGTTTTGATAAACATCTCCTATACTAGTAATTAGGTAAGATTATTATTAAGTTTTAAATACAATTATATTTATATATGATTAAATCTATAAAAGACATACGATCGAACTTTTTGCTGATAATCGGCAACCATTCTTGAGATTAATTCGTCCTTTAAATTAGCAGCTGTAGAAGCAATATGTTCAATAATATAATGTCTGTGAACTTCAAAGAGTTCGGTGAAAGACGTCCAATAAAATTCTAGCCGTACATTCTTGCTTAGTTGATCGTAATAATCGATGAATTCGCAATATTTTTCATATGGATTAGGTGGTTGTGCTTTTAAAAAGTCCTGAATTTGCTGAACATTTTCGCCGTTTATTAAGCTCATATATTTATCAAATTCGCGTAGTTGTAATTCCGGATCAGTTTTGTATTGTTGAATTAAGTTTGATATAATGTTTACGTGCTGCTCGAGGAGCTCTGAAGAAATTATTGGCTACAAAAATATGTAGAAGCTTAATAATTGCAATATTGCATAATTTTCTAAATTTTATTTCTGATCATTCTGATAATTGGAATTATAATTTCTTATATAATAATTTTTCGAATTATTGTATATATTATTTGAACAATTTAATATATTGTATAAAATACCTTGAGCAATTCAGGCGCACCAGTATCAGGATAAACCCACTCCAATTTTATCTCCGCTCGTGGTAATGTAGTTACAGCGTCGTAAAAAGAATTCAACAACATTGAAAGTCCGTTTACGAACGTATTGAATGTGGGATCAAAAGTGATAGACGTATTTCTCACCACAACGTCTATGTTAAAGCCACAATTTGTGTACTGTTTGAGTAATAATTCTATTCAATGCATTTGATCAAATGTTGGAAACATTTACTGATCCAAGCTTTAATTGAGAATGCTAAGCCCGTAAGATATATACTCACACCCACGTCAGTAAGATAGTCGATATAGTCCTCCATTGAACGCAAACACAAGTCTCGTAATTGATCCTCCATGACATAAGCAAGGCAATTAAAGAATTTATTATATCGCGGATCGTCCGCCGATGGTAAATTTCCCTTCTTTGAAACCTGAATTTACGAAGGTATTTTTTAAAGTAAAATAATTAAAAATGCAAAAATGTTTTTCCGCTATTTTATAATTACTAAAAATTGTACTTCTTACCGCGAGTAAAATGTTGCAAATTTTTAGCAACCATCGTTTGAGAAGATCGTTGCTCGTGTTTCTAAGTAATGTCATGAATTTTTGATCAAACGTCGAAAGATCATACGGCTGACCATACGACGCCAGTTCTTTTTTATCTACTTGCTTGACTTTTCTACGATTGTTGAAAAATATTATCATTATTTTGTATTAAAAATAATATAAATAACTGGCACTACAACAATACGATAATTCGCTAACCCGTATTCGCGATACCAGTAATCCAAAGTTTTGCGTATACATAAATGATACAGAATAATCGTTTTTTTTTCCAATTTCATTTTTATCTTTTGATACTTAACGCTTTGCTCTGGCGAGAGTGGCTCGGTGATTTGGGAAAACAACGGCTGGAAAATGTAATGCACGATGTATAAACGCACATTTAATTAACTAATTAAGTAACTAATTACTTCTTTTTTATGTTTCTTCGTTTGCGTTTTTAATTGAGTTATTATTTTTTACTGTGTTTTAAATTGTATTATTTACATATACATAAAAACAATTACATATTAAACTGTGTCTAACTGTGCAACGCACAAGCTCGAAATTTTATACTGTACATAAAACAATATTTTATTTTTTTAAGGAATGCTATCCAGATAGTATTATCTCATTGTATTATTATTGTTATGTGCATAATAATTAATATTGTTATGATACTAACTGGTGCACAGATACTGTACGCTTCCTCAAAAGGTTCCTGTAGCGCAAAATCAACGATGGACTTTTTCATGCTCGTAATATAGTCGCTTTTCAATTCCTGGATCAATTGATCGAAACATTCCTTGTGTCTCTCCTGCCATTCAGTAGACACCATGCTTGTTATCTTCTTTAACGTGTCAGAATCTAAGGTGCCTGCGTAAACATCATCGACCTCATGAAGAATGTAGTAATAATACCTCAAAAGATTCTTGTCTTCTTCCGTGAGCCAGTCCTGAACAGCGATATCGCTGCTCGAAGTTCGTTCGCAAACATCATCGTCATCATCATCGTCTAAAACTATTCTCTTTTTTGCTACACAATTTTGACACATTTCCTGTCGTTTTTCCGGTCCTTTAATCTTTCGAATCAGATGTGTCCGAAATTCGGCTCTCTGTCGACGTAGCGATGTATAATAATCATCCTTTTCGAGTTTGATTTCCTTTTTTTTCCGGTTTCTTTGGTGCAGCGACACTCCTTCAAGTTAATTCATTGTTTGTCAAGTTTGTGTATTTATTCAAGTTTATAGAAGTACATTTTTTTTTAATTGAGTACATATGATACAATCAAATATTGACGTTTATAAATTGCATCTTGTGACAAATAATAGCTTGTCGTACTTTAATAAATCGTTGATTGTTTACCTTGATAAAGTCTCGCATTCTTGCGGCAAGTCAGAAACACTCGGTTCATCTATGACATATTTTTTCAAACGATCGAAAGTTTTTTCATGCATGTAATATTTTTTTAGATAACTTTGGACAATACGTATCGGAATTGGATTTCATCCAATCGCAATGTTTTTTACGAGATTTTCTGACGTGCAGCTCGTCAAACATGTCGCTTCGCTTTATTGATTTCATGCATGGTTCCGAATATTTATGGATATCGATTTCTTTATCGTTTTTATCTTGTTCCGCAGCTTTTTCTGTTCTTTGAATTCTACTCTTCTCTTGTGTGCAATGTGGTATCTCCATCGCGTAATCGGGTTTTTACGTCTCTTATCACAATCGTTAGGCTAATTAGAGAATATTATATACGTGCGTAATTTAGATGTAAAAATTTAAGATAATTTTGTTGAAATAACACATGTAGAATTACTTTCAAACCTCTCTTCATGTCATGATTGTTCAAACTTACCGTTTTTAGACTTTAGAGTCTTACTGAATAAGATAAAAAATATATAATAATGCATAATTATTTTTCTCGTATTATAACAACTTGTTTCTAATTATTTCATATTTATATTTCTTTAAGTTTTTCCAAATTGTTTCACTTATTGACACCAAATCACTCCATCACATGCTATATGCCTCACGAAACTGTCCTGAAACCTACAGTTTACGTTACCATAGCAATCATTCTGACATTAAAGATATGTCGTGTCAATCACGTAGATGAGCACATTATATTTATATTAACATTTATATAATAATGCAATACATATTAAATGCAAGAAATAATTAGAAACCGAGCGTGATTTATGCAAAAATAAAAATATAATATCTATTCTAAAAAATAATGAGGCCAAAGATTAAGGAATATATATACCCAGCTAGCCAAGAGTGATAAAATCACGTTTCGTTAAAGCTTTGCGGCAAAGTTTGCTTTAATTTTAACAACAATTTTCTGGCAAACATTTGCCTTGCTTCGTCTTGTCTAAATATTTTGAACAAATTAACGGCAAAACTTTTCGTTATATGATGCTTGCCAGCAAAAACTCAGCTTAATGCGGACACACCTTGTCGCAATTTTGCTACAAAGGCCTGCTCGAGTTTACCGCAATCTTTGTGCAAAGTTTGTATCATTTTGCTAGCTGGGTATGTGATAAAAATTAATTAGATTATTTCTTTCAAAGTAAATATTTATTTTGTATTTATATACGTGACATTGTTTTCAGAATAATACTTTCACAAGTATGATGTAGGTCTGTCAACGGTATGTGTAGGTCTCTGATAGTTGGATACCCGTCAATAGCAGTTGCTGTGTTAATTTGCAGTTTTATGATACGAAAGATACATATATGAAGATATATGAAGATAACATTATAGCGCGCAATATATTTCTCTTTTATTTATATATTTCAAATACTTTTCAGTAACGCAAAATACAAAGTTTATCGCGATATGAAATTTTATACGTCTCTGTATTTATGTATATGTATATGTATAATATATATATCACGACAATTCTACGTCCACATACGTTTGATTGTCACTCGTCTCAGATATACATAATACACTGTTGACCCCTCTATACATCTAAATAGGCAACGTGAAGAGTACTTCTTCGCATAATTTCTCTTTTTTACTCTCCCTCTCTGTTTCAAGAAATAACGTGAACGAGAACATTCAGCAAATTATTATCAGGGACATCCTACTGCTAAATGGACTTATATATATATATATATATATATATATATGTATATGTGTGCGCGAAATTAAAATGTGTTTGGACCTCGCAACCTCCTAGCATGCCTCTTGCACACTATGAATTTTTCAGATATGCACATACAGATGAACGATTATAAGAGGGAAAGGCAAAGGCGCGCAAACGAATATATATATATATATATATATATATATATATATATATATATGTATATATATGATATCTCGCGCATTTCTCGTTAATTTTGCCAGCGAAATGGTATATGTAAGCGGCACAGACGCGCTATTTAGCAAAACGGCGATTCATAGCCGAAACCGTATGGATATATTGATTTTCTTTCCGGCACCCTTTCTCCGTCGACGATTCAACGTCGAGATATACATACAATCATCGTCAGTTTATATACCAAATATACGCGATAGTCGTACTGGTACACGTTACACAGGAGCTGAGAAAACAACACGATCCGTGTAAATTTGTGCTGACTCTCTCGCGCAGAGAGATTTGAACATCAGGATACTCCAAAAAGAGACAAGCCTTGATATCTCATCGTATTGTCACGTAAACCTTGTCGCACAGCTCTATTTTATACGGATACAAATTTATATACGCGAATAATTTTTATTAAGGAATATTTAATTTTATTCCAAATATCCACCATTATACCGTGTCCTTTCAGGAATATCCTGTATAACAATGACTATACAATTAAACCTCTAACGACTTATACATTATTGATTAACACAGGTACATTCAATGTGAGTACGGATAACACACAGCACTTTTGGAAAAACGTAGTCGATTATTACTGAAATTTCTCTCAGTCTCGTAACTGATTTAATTTCTTTTCCTCTATTATGTACAATATGATGATTTTTTTATCCGAATAATCTCTTTGACGATTTTGCAGATTTTTGGGAAGAGTAAAATAAATACCAACGACACACCATTGCACTCATCTGCATTCGATCTGATATAGCATATACGTTGTTGATATAGTCCCATACCAACGGTATCGATCCGATTCTCTTGTGCCTAACAAGCGATATCAGTGGTATAGTGTTGCTATATTGCTTATCTACAACGAAATTCTCTCCGTAAATTTTAAAGCAAAATTAATATTGACCAAATTATGGAATACGCCATACGTTTGATTAATTCCTTTTGTTTGACATCCTATGACATATAAACACGTAAAATACAGCGTTTAATACACAAATTTTCTAGCTATTTTCACATGCATTATAGCTGTGTTTTGTGTCTTCAAACTTAAACATATGCCAAATTATTAGAACCAAATTAAATTTCTCTCTCAACCAGTCGAATTGATTAAAAATTGCGTCATATTTCTCAGACATGTTGAATTGATAAATCATAAATTGATATAAATTAATGAATTTAAGTATGTAACAAGTACGATATAATTTCTGTGAGACATTTGAAAGATCAAGATTATTAATCTTATAAACATTTATTCCTTTGACAATGTAATACACGTCTATATCTCGTCTCTTTTTAACTGTTCACACATATTTTATATCATTTATAAATTCCAATATTTAATTCTTCAACTTTTTCATTTAATATAAAACTAGAGTTTATATACACACATCATCACTTTGTCGAAGTGCGAAAGAAAATTTAGATGCTTGAAATATTAATATTAAAAATGATTGCGAATCTTACACATTTCTTTTTGATTGTTATATATGAAATTTTTTTTACGTACGTTTGAAATTTAAAGTTAATTTAATATTGTGAAAAAATGTAAGAGATATCATCAAGATATTTATTTGAGATACTTGTAGAATTGGAAGGCATAATAATTAATTAAGATGACATATACTTCGAACGAAATAAGAGACCCAAAGTATTGCCATGTTCGACCAAACTACTCGACAAACGCAGTTCACTTCAAAACGAAGTACACAAGTCGTTTTTAATTAATTACACAGTTTTTAATTAATTACTTCTTCCATTGAACACTAATGTAGATTTGTTCGGCTGCACAGCAGCTGAAGCAGCAGATTTAACCTTCGTCTTTCTTACGCGACAGAAAGATTAATTCGGGCAACGTCGACGCAACATCGAATTTGTACGTTCTATGAGATATAGTCTTCGTGTTTACGCACGACTAATATCCCTAAACGACAGTGTTCCTATCGAGATTTAGAAAGTCGTGATTGATTTTTGTTCAATAGACACGTGACGGATGTCTTCAATTGTGGTTCGCGTACAAAAGACGCGCGATGCGCGAAAGATCGGAATTGACAGTGGAAAGAACTTAATCCTAGTTTTGTTCATTTGCAATCAATTGCAAGCCCGCACGACTGAACGGGAAATCCGGAGGTCATCGAACGGTTAAGGTCGTGTGAAGCGATACCGGTACGGAGTCCAGGCGAACAGTTCTAAAGGAAAAGAATAACATATCCATTGTGTATGCATCGTTATTCTCTTGCCACAATCTCTAATGTTCTTAGCATGCAACAGTGGTGCCGGCGCAAAAATCATTGCTACTTTACGCCATTTCTCACGCCACAGATTCGGGATGCACAATTAGCATGCACTCTGAAAACGGTCAGCTCGTTTAAGCTCGAAAATTCAGCATTCTTCTCTTCATTCTACACTCTAAGCATAAATAATAATTCGACTGATGCAGAAGCTGCGATTGCAATCTCTTACTTCTTTTATTCTTGTTTGCTATGGGTTTTATTAACTCGATTCAGTTAAAAGAGCCAAGGATACTATATATAAGAAAAATGAGCTTGCAAGCTGCATGATGAATTTTATCACAGTTTAACTGATTCAAGTTCAGTTATTTGCTCTAGAATGTTAAAGATTAAATTATGATAAAAATTTGTCTTGGTCTCTTTGGTCATTCTTTGATAAATAAGAATAAAAATTCAGTAATATCCTGGATTAAAAAAATAGATAATTTTTGACATTTAACTTGTAGTAATAAAAAATGATAATAATTCAATCGACCAATTCTGGCAAATAATTAAATTTATTGAATTTTCACAACGTTTCGGCCGTGGGTTTCGGCCCTTATCAAGTGCTATAATATAATATTAATTATTAGAAAAATAAATATAAAAATAATAAAACATCTAAAAATATTCACACGTTAATACGCAACCATATTATAGCACTTGATAAGGGCCGAAACCCACGGCCGAAACGTTGTAAAAATTCAATAAATTTAATTATTTGCCAGAATTGGTCGATTGAATTATTACCATTTTTTAATTATCATCTGGTGACTTCATAATTTTATATCATTGTAGTAATAAATTCTTTAATTATTTTCAGACAATCTAATCCGCAAGCTGCCGTTTTCAGTTGCGTTTACTGCTCGATGATGAAGCATGCCGGATTGCTACGGATCTGCTGACTGGTTTGTGAACAAGTTCGGATGTGAAAGAAATCTAAATGCGAAATATCATCCGATGAATTTGCAAATGATAGTTGAATGATATATAGTCACACGATGTTGTATGGAAGATACGTGTCACGCGACACTTTGCGACAAGATCTGATCTCTTTGGCGAACGCCTCTCTGATGTTGATTCTGTGCTGTGTTTATATACACATGGAGGTATATCGAAATGTAAATGTGTGTAAATGATTTATCAAGAAGTTGGATTAATTAACGAACGGTCCGATGGCTATCGTTTCAGATAAAAAATAATGCCCATAACACGGTTGTGAAAACTTCGCTAATCGTAGGCGAAGCGATATAAGAATGGTTCATTCACAAGCTCTTGGTAATTCATATCGAACAATCGATCGACACGGTCGATTCGTTCTCGGTCTGCATCTGTAGATGGTATATATGATGGGAGGATGTTTCTGCAATCTGATCGAATGGTGAAGCGATGTATGAACGATTTACACGCGCTACATATATGCAAAACTACTTTGTTTGTAAAGGAGAGTTTTGGTGTTGCGGCGCGTACACTACGTGTAGAATCGCTCTACGATTTACCATGATTGGTGAAGCACGGGCAAAGGGCATTCAGAATACGATTGCAGAATCCACGCGCACGGTTGTTCCAGCCAGCGATGGTATCGCCACCCTTCAATCTACTGCCTGTACACATACACACGCGCATATATTACGTATAGCCAGCAAGTTTATAAATATCAATCTCCAAAGATAATTATAATTGTGCGTCGTTCTACTTTGTAAGTAGTTCCTCTATACAGGGTATTTCACCCAACCTCTCACGATCTGAAATATCTCCGTTGTTATTGATGATACGGAAAAATATGTATATAAGAAATGTATAAGAATAAATTTATTTAGCGAATATCATGATTGACAAATTTGTTTGTCTGCTTTTTTGTCGATTGATCGCATTTTCGTGAATTAAAAATTGCCGACATTTCTTTTTTAATGAATGTAAATATTAATATTAACCACGGATTTTATTAATATCTTATGATGACAAACTGAATAGTTGATGATGTATCGATTTCTTATGATGACCTTGTGTGATATTTTCTTTTTACGATATAATTTATTTTTTTTTATATATATTTTCCCGCCATCCACGTAACGGCGGAGATACTGCATGATCGTGAGCATATTTCTACTCACCGATTTAAATATGCATCTAGTGAATTAAAATTTTATTTTACTATCTCTATTCTTCGTTAATATCTATAAATCTCTTTAGTTATTTTTACGCGTCTATCTATCAATCTAGCAATCTACACACTTATCAAATTATCTCTTCTCGTTTGCTTTATGTCTACTTCCCCTTCTCTCTCTTGAGTATAATATTTACCCGTTTACTTATATCTGCCTTCTTTTTCCTTCGTTATAGCTGACGCGAGTCAATCAAAAATATTTCAGCCTCGTAAAAATAAGATTTGAATCTCGTGAGTGAATTGAATAATTGAAGATGAATTTATTTTACTTACCTTCGCCTGTATCAGCTCCCTGAAACACAAAGAGCAAGTATTGTACGCCCAATCTTCGCGATATAGTTTGATAGTAGTAGCTGGTCTCATTGAAGAATGCGTTTGCCCTTCGGCTTAAACACTTGTGTTATGAAAGCTTTCTTATTTGAATATAGCTCGCGATTTCTCGCACATTACCTCCGATTGAGCTTTTCTTTTCGAGGCTTCCGTAGCTGCGGTCTCTATCACTTCGCTAATAAATTTCGTCGTTTCCCTCATCAGCTCCTCGTCCTCCTTGAAGGCCTCTTTCCTCTGTTCCAACGTCCCCGTCATCAGGTTTCTCTCGTGTTCATCCATGTTGCTGGTAGCACGGAACAATATGGATATCCGATCAGAGTTTCATCAACGACGACGATGATTTTCGTCTCTCTTTGCGTGTTCTAGCCCTTTACAATTAAAATTAGACTTTCGGTCAAAGAATCTTATATGCACGAAAATTGTTTGTGGGGTCTCTTTAATTCCAGAAATGTCACAAATATTTAATTACCTTATCAAAAACTCACATATATATTAAAAAAGTTATTTAATATAATAAGGGTTCGCGAGGGATGCGTAAGGTGTGTATGACCTAGAGTGATACGATAAATATATATTATACACTCGGTAATTTTAGAATAAATTATTTCTCTTTCTCTCTCAGTTGCTTTTTATCTCTGTGATCACCGGCTTAATATTAATTTGTCAAGTTTCCCACGTTTGACCTTTCACGTATTCGAGTCCTCCGCGCATCTATTACTGGTCAATGATCGACGGCAAAAACGAGGGTTGAAACCGGAGTATAATTTCGGCATTTTTCGGATTTCGGATTCAACAGTTGTGAGTAATCTTCACATGAAGATGTGAGTAATCAAATCACATTTTTATTCAAAAATAAAAATAAATCGTGCGCTGATTCCTTAAGGCAAGATCCTTACACATATTTTCTCTTAGCGTTAATATATACGCTAAGAGAGTGCATGTAAAATAATACCAGTTCAACGTATCGCGGCTTATAATTTTCTCATTATATTATTTATGCTATGCAAGCTATATTTAATCCGCATTTCCGTCGCATTTCCGTCACGTCGATCGAATCCACCGGTTTCAAGCTTCGACTCGTCAGTCCTTTTGTAAAAAATATCGCGGAAAACGAGGAGGATCCCGGATTGCGGGATGCAACAATGTAACACGTAATCGCAGACGAGAACGTAAATACGACGCGATAACGACGATGACGGATATATGCCACAGGTGGTGTGTATTGTTTCACCATAAACACGCACACCGATAAACCAAACAGGTCGTCTTCTACGTACACGCGCGTGTATCCCGGGGATGCTGAGGATGACGTGGTCGTGGATGCCCAAGGCCGACTGCGGTTTAATTCGCTGATAAAGAGGTGCCTGGACTGAGCTGTCCCGAGCCGAGCCGGTCGAGCCTCTGACGTATCCCCCGGATCCAACGAGTCCCTTCATATGGACTTGGCTCAACGGAGGAGACGTCCTCAGTATATGTCGCGACTCCGAGATACGGATCGACGAGAAACGGGACAATTAAACGGGCAGGAACCCGTCATCTTCTCCTCGTTCGTCTTTGACGGCTCGCGCTCCGCCAGGTAATGATCGACGCGAACCAGGCGCTACCAGACGAAGCTCTCTCACCCGACTGGATATCACCCCAGCTAGACCCCGAAACGGAGCATGCGTCGGGAGACATGCACCTATTAGGTTTTTATATCTTTACTTCTATATACTCTCTCTCTTATCTCTGTACGCGAATATATACTATATATACACGTGCATGTACTATATACACACGTATACACATGCATACATATGCATATATATGCATGTATACATATGCATATGTACGTATTTATTATTCTTTTTTATCTCATCGTAGATTCAGACATATGGTATCTCTACTAATCCAAACTAGAGCGAGAGGCGGAATTTGACTGTATAATATGCAAGTTATCGCAAGTGTACTGTGTGATTATTGTTTACTTGAAAAATAGATGGATTCGAGAAATCAATGGGAATTTATTTTGTAACGCTGCAAATTTTGAATTATAATTAAAATTAAATTTTTAAAAAATTTTTATATAAATACATATCCATGTAAATTTATCGCAAATAATATATGAAGAATTGTAAAAATGAATTCTATTCGTCAACTTTAATTTCGCATAACAAGCTATACTTGTTATACTGTAATAATAACAAAATGTATATTTATCATTCGAGTTTTTTAATATATATGAGATATATATATATATATATATATACATATAATATGTCTGAAAATTTTATTTCTTTTAAAAGCAAACAGCCTTCCGGCGAAATGTTCATAATATAACATTTATGGATTGGGACTTAAAAATATACGAAATTATCGATTCTATATTTGTCGAAATAGCCAGAAATAGAGTTGTGTGACAAAATCATGTATCAACGCATTATTAATAAATGAGAACATTAATCTTTCATCCTACACACATCCTACATAATTTTTCTATATAAAGCATAAAATAAAATCTGTGTCCTATATAATACCTTTAATGTGAATAATAATTTTTCATGATTACATAACTGGAAACACATGTGTGTATTCATATATATGTGTGTATATTTCATAATTGATGTCACCTGGCTGGTTGCAATTTTTTTTTAATGACACGTACAGAACCGAGTGTTGATTTCTAGAAAGAGAGATAATAAGTTATCGCGCGTTGTCGTTTTATATCAATTTGAATGCATGATTAATTCTTTCTCCCCGATAAATTACGCAGATCAAATTTCATGTTTTTTAAAATCAAATCAAGCTTGAAATCGACACATGAATTTAAATGAAAAATATAAACGTTTCGAATCTGCTTCGACTTTAGTGAAAAAGACGGTTCGGGAAGACGTCTTTAAATATAACATGAACGCGCTTAATAATAAAAGATCAATATGATCTCACGTTGAATAATTTTTCCCTGAAGAAGCTTAGCTAATTACGGCTAACGTGTATTTTTTCTTGTTTTGTGTTCAGTGTGATATGTTTATGGATCGTACAATGTGCACGTGTTGTTTACCTGTTTTGCATTCAAAGCAAGACTGTTTTTAAAAGAAAAAATATCTACATAATACTTTTAAGACTAATTTTGTTTTTTTCGTCATTATAAATTTCGAATGTCTTATTATTAATTTTTATTAAAAAATATTATTATAATTTGATATTATTCTAATAAACTTTAGGTAAATTTAAGGAACACAAATTAAAGCATTTTTGCGGCTTATATATTCAGATAGCACAGATGATCATTATAAACTTAAAAATAATTCTTCATATTTTATATATATATATATATATATATATATATATATATATACCCGGTAAAAATTTTTTTATGTATAATTGCATATCCCTTGTAGAAATTTATTACTAGTAACGCTGATTAATCATATACTTATATTTCGAGTATTTAAAATACTGTAATTTATGATATACAGTAATTTAAGTACTCGAAATAATTAAATGATTAAGTACTCGAAATAAATGATAAATTGGCGTTACTAGTGATAAATTTCTATAAAGGATGTATATAACAATATATAAAATTATATATATAGACATATATAGTTAGTTATAAATTATATATATAATAATTAAGTGTATATAAAATTATATATAATTTATACAAAATGTTATATATTTCTATATAATTATATATATTGTTTTATGTAATTATATATAACAATTTTTTTATTAGGTAATTTGTTCGAAATATATGAGCTTAAAAAAGATTCAACATTCTTATGGAATATAAAATAAATTTTATATTCATTTGTAAAAGAACTCAGAATTGGCATAAATGAATTTCTTTTGAAATCTTAAGAGTCCTTTTATATCGCAGAAATGGGTTAGAAAAAGACTTTTCATTTCAGAATCTGGATATTAAAAAAGAATATTCTTCTCGAATTCGCTATGCTATATTTGGATATAATTCATGTTTCTTTTGATTGTGTATATAATTTGCAATTATTATCAATAACAAAAGCTTTTGCATAATTTTATTAAAAGATATATACATATATATATGCATATATGAATTTGCATACGTGTCGAAATAATCTTTTAAATTTCTTTTTAAAAATCAAAAAGATCTACTTTTTAAGAAATATAAGTGCGAAAGAATCAAGCATAGAATAGAAAGACAAATCTATTATAATTGTAAAAATAATAATTCGCAAGTACTTACATCTTAATCTATCCAATTCACGCATTCTTTTCCTCAACGTGAGTGTTTCAAGCATCATCTCGTCGATATCGATATGCGATATGCGCGCGCGGCTATCGAGGGGAATGAGTCGCCTTTGGTTAGGATGCGTTCGAAAATCTGACGTGCAAACAACCTTATAATAAAAAAGCCTTTCGTTGACCAATCAGAAGCAAAGAAATTTCCGCTCCTTTCCTCCTGATTGGTCAATCTAATTGTATTAATTCTACAGATAGAATTTTCGAACGCATCTATTTAGTCGGACTATCAGAGTCTACTGCTGCGCGATAAGAAATGTCGCTCGCGAAAAGATCGATTTAAAGATGGCCGCACCGCGGTCGTCCGATCGTCGTGTCGCGTCAATCTGAGACGCATCTCTCAGGGATCCGAGTGGAGGAAGCTCGAGTCCGAGCCGAGCCGTGCTGAGTGACGCCCGATCGACGTGAGCGAGCCGCCCGAATTGACAGATAGTTGACAGTTCGTTCGAGACCTGGTCGCGAAGGAGTGGCGAATCTCCTTCGCCGGACGATGATCTAACGTCCCGCTAATCACGCGATCATGAATTGTCATCAGATACTCAGCGGCGCCTGCAATGCGGGCGATCGCTGCTACGCCGTTGGCTCCGTCGAGGGAATCTCCTTCACCGTGAGTTTATCCCCTGGCGCGACAGCGTCATCGGGGATTCCTCTCGTGATTTTCTAATTTCTATAGGCCTCTTCGCGACCGCGACGTCGCGCGGTATTTCGCAAGCGAAATACGTGCTCTCGCGTTAGGGAAGTCAGCTGATCAGATGACACTTTGATTAGGCGACGTCTCTCCTTTGGAATCGACGATTTCCTTCGGCGGAAACGTCATATAACGCATCATGCTCTATATGTTGCATCCTCGATTTAGATTCTCTACTGACGTATATCGCGAAGAATTAGATTGATCTTTCTTGTTTTGCAATTGCCCATTAAAATTTTATTGAGAATTTGACTTTGATCAATGAGAATATTAATGGTGTATTGTATTCCAAGGCAAAGTTAAGATTTGATAGGCTGAAAATATGGCAGTGTATAAAAATAGCTTGCAAAATGATAAAAAATTGGAAACTTATTTAATTTTAAGAGAAAGAAAATTTAGATATTAATATTACACTCTATTTATTTCACTTAGGCATACGCAGCTGGTTGCAATATTGTGATTTTAGCCAACAATTTTGAACGAGTCCAAATAATTCCTGGAGCTGTGCACAATTATATTAGAATCAGTTGTCTGGACTGTAGTACAGATACAGGAAAAATTGCTGCAGCATATGAAAATCAAGTGTGCATTTTTGAGCCGACACCACTTATACACAGCACTTGTTCACATGTTTGTATTAATATATTTAGTATTAAATATACATTTATATATAAAAATATAAGGAGATGCATCTAATACAGTTTTATAAATTTTTTTATAGCAATTAGAATATAGATGGGTTCAAACTGGAAGTCTGCAAACAGAATCAAACATTACCTCTTTATCATGGAATTTAGAAGGAACAAGATTATTGACAGGTGGCGAATTGTTACAATTATGGCATCAAAATATCATGCCATTTCAAGAAGAGCACAGTAAGTTTATTTCCTTATGGATTTCATACAATTCCATTAAAATGTATATTTTAAATAAATTTTGTATAATTATGAAAAATAATCTACAATTTGTATTAAAAAGAAAACAGTATTCTATGACGAAAATCTAATTTCATTTGTGTGATATATATGTAGAACTAAAAAATATCATAAATCTCTTCATCTCTTAAATATTTAATAATATTTGCTTTATTAATATTCGAATTATCATATATTGTTCATTACTTGGTACAGCAATATTATCTACAGCTACAAAGCCGAAAACACTACAAACAGAAGAAGTTGGCACAAGTGGAAACAATCATAGTGTTACGGCAAATACTTCTCAGGATCGTGAGTTCATTCTTTTTGAGAATGAACATACAGTGTTGGCATGTTAACATATAGCATTTTCTTCTGCCATTGCACTGCATTAGTAATTTCTTATCAAAATTAATTTGCATATCTTTTTTGATTGGAATAAGAATTATAGAATTGTTAGAAATGCATTTTGCTAAAAATCATACTCAGAATTATTTTTTCAAAATATTCATTTTTAACAAAATGCTTTTGTATCCTTATCATCAAAATAAGAGCTTTTGCAACTCATGCTACATTGTGATTGGAATCTTGATGCATACAATAGTTACAAACTATTCATAGATGAATGTATCTTAAATGCTTATTCAATTTTTATGCTTGACATATTTAACACTAATTTATATACATTTTACTATTGCACACTATGAATAGACACCATTATTATTAAAACACTATCAATCTAATTTTATAAAAATGGAGAATCTCAAAGACATTTTATTTTTATATTTCTTCTATTTAAGATATTGAGAACACTATAAATATTAAGTTTTTTCTATTTACATTCCAGATATGTGCACCTTGTGACTTTGAGAAACAACTTTAATTTACATATATATATATAATTATTTATTTACATTTATTTTTTAACAGCCGGCGCGGTGACATTTTCAATTGGAGGAGAAGCGGAGAGTCCTGGGCCTGGAGACACATCGACTACGAATGATCCAGGTGGATGGAATTGTGTGTGGAAATGTCGTACTGCTACACCAGTTCATCTTATGAGTTTTAGTCCTGATGGCACTTTATTTGCAACAACAGGAATGAATGATAGATTGGTGAAAATATGGTTCGAAAACAAGCAATGTATGTATTTGTATTAAATGATGATGAACGGATGGTGATCTTTCTACATTTATAAGCAGTTATTATTAAGACTTATTTTTTACTTCCAGTTTTTCCAGCAAGAAGTATGGATCATACAAATTTTTCTCAATCTGTGGGCAGTGATAATTTTAGTTTTGTTTATGTTGCACACCCACGCGCTGTAACACACCTCTCTTGGCGCAAAACAAGTAAATATATGCCAAAGTAAGTTGCACATGAAACTTTTAGTGCTTTTGTTATGAATTGAAATCGAATGAAAATCCGACATGATTGCAGTAAAATATTCTATTTAAAAATAAATATTTGTTTATATATTTATCTTTAAAAAATATGAAGACATGTATATTATATGAAGACTATTGAATTTTTAAAATTGTAATTAAAATGTCAATTAAAATGATTATTTTAAGTTTGCTAAGAAACTAAAGTGTTAACCCTTTGTAATAAAAAAAGTTAACACAATTGATTTATATATGTATAAAAAAATGTAAGAAGTTTTTCAATAATTTTCTTATTTGTCATAAACTAGGGGTTCCGTATCTAATATGTTGGTCACTTCGTGTCGCGATAACATCTGTCGAGTGTGGACAGAAACGATACCGCCCGAGATTGAAGGTTTAGCTAACATGAGTCAATTTGAGGGTTCTGACAGACACGGTCATCATGGCAAACATCGTCATCATAATATGCACAAACATCGATTTATGCAACGGCTGAAACATATGAAGTATGAGAAACATTTTACTCATATTGAAATATATTTTTTGGAAAATAAAATATATATATATATATATATGAAATATTTGATTTACAGAACATGTTTTCATATTCGGCGACATGCTAAGCAGCAGCATCAGGCTGGTCATACAGCGCCGACTTTACCAACGCTTCCATCTACATATTCTGTACATGATTTCCATAATAATTATCAAACTTCTGGTCATTACCCAGGAATGCACTTCCACTTGGCAGCCAGTATCAATGCAGAAACTGGTATAGTATCAATTAATCTACATAATATGCATTATATAAAATAGTAATTTTGTTTTTTCTTTTTTTACATTATATTACATATTTACATTATAACATTAGATATATTATTATACATCATTATATATATTATTTTTATTCTATTTTATTTTTATTATATTTATTATTTATTTTATATTATATTACATTATTCTAAATATTGTTGAAATATTGGTAATCGTCAAAGGATAGTATATGATCATGTTTTAGATATACCGCTAGTACCAAGCTTAATTACCGGAGATCCCGAAAGAGAACCGAATTTTATCTTACATTGGCTAAATAACAAAGAAATGCACTTCACCATGCAAGCCGAAAATATATTGCAAGAATTGACTCGTAAAGTGGTGGAAAAGGAAGAAGGCTTACAACATCAAGAGCATACTGAACATGTAGAACAACATGATTCTGAAGATGAATGTACACCAAGTATGTGTTAAATTTGCTTTGTAAAAAAATATAATTATTAATAATTACAATGTTCTTCTCAGAAAAGGGAATTCGATTGCAAACGATTCAGAAGCCAGCTGTTGGTGGCCGATCAATGAGTCAAGAAGATCACAGTAGTGACGAACACCATACTACGCATACCACTTCGTCTCATCACAGTTTGGCGCACAGTGTGCACTCTCATCCGAGTCTAAGGTAAATTTTCGAGATCTCCCTTATTGACTATTATGTGTGAGCATTATATTGTATGTTTTTTTTTTTATAAAACTAATAATTTTATTTACAAAAAAATTTATTTATATATATATAATTATGATTATATAATATATAATTATATATAATATTAATAATTTTAATACAATATATATATTTAAAATATTAAATATAACTTTCTGTTACAGCAATACAACCTCTATTAACTCGATAGCGACAGATGCAACATCCACTATGAATCACGCGCCAGATTCGTTAGATACAAAGATCGAAACGTTGCTGCGCGATTGGCATCATAATCCAGACTTGCTGTTCTCAATACATCCGATAGACGGGAGCTTTTTGATTTGGCATATCGAATGGTTGGACGAGTATCATCCTGGATCTTTTCGACAGGCGCAGATTTCATTTTCCACTCGTATTCCGAACGCATTCCCGCTCGGGGACGCATCGACAATGAGCCATAATGTGTCGATGTATTCTCACAATACCGGTGGACCATTATTGAACATCCGCGAAGTCGCAAAGTCGTCGACAAAAGCAAGCGAGCCCAGCGAAGTCGCAACACCTTTACCCAGCCTTATAGAACAAGACGAGGAGCAATCGACGTTAACTTCGAAAGCGGGTCAAGAGCTATTGAAAAATATAGAAACTACGGATGATCAGAATCAAACGAAAGCCGAGACTAATGCACTGGAGAATAATAAAAACGGGCATGAAGCGGATTTATTGGCTCATCCTAGTCCGATCGTTTCGATGGTATCGAAGCATTCGAATGGCACTTTGAATTTATGGCAGCTGACGTTTGCGGATAAGACAAAATTTTCACAAGTGTTGAGCATAGGACATGCGTGTAGAGCTTCCGGACATCGCTTTCGTGTAAACGACATCACGTGCCATCCTGTCTTACCTTTGCTTGTGACAACCTCTCATCATAATATACCCGAATTTTCCGGTGCA